CTGTGTCTTTTGATTGGTGCATTTAGTCCATTTACATTTAGGGTTAATATTGTTATGTGTGAATTTGATACTGCCATTTTGATTCTAAGTGGCTGTTTTGCCTGTTAGTTGTTGTAGATTCTTCATTATGTTGAAGCTCTTTAGCATTCAGTGTGATTTTGGAATGGCTGGTACTGATTGATCCTTTCTATGTGTAGTGCCTCTTTTAGGAGCTCTTGTAAAGCAGGCCTGGTGGTGACAAAATCTCTGAGTACTTGCTTGTTCGCAAAGGATTTTATTCTTCCTTCACTTCTGAAGCTCAGTTTGGCTGGATATGAAATTCTGGGTTGAAAGTTCTTTTCTTTAAGAATGTTGAATATTGGCCCCCACTCTCTTCTGGCTTGTAGTGTTTCTGCTGAGAGATCTGCTGTGAGTCTGATGGGCTTCCCTTTGTGGGTGACCTGACCTTTCTCTCTGGCTGCCCTTAGTATTCTCTCCTTTATTTCAACCCTGTTGAATCTGACGATTATGTGCCTTGGGGTTGCTCTTCTTGCGGAATATCTTTGTGGTGTTCTCTGTATTTCCTGCAATTGAGTGTTGGCTTGTCTTGCTAGGTGGGGGAAATTTTCCTGGATGATGTCCTGAAGAGTATTTTCCAGCTGGGATTCATTCTCTTCGTCCCCTTCTGGTACACCTATCAAACGTAGGTTAGGTCTTTTCACATAGTCCCACATTTCTTGGAGACTTTGTTCGTTCCTTTTTGCGCTTTTTTCTCTGATCTTGGTTTCTCGTTTTATTTCATTGAGTTGGTCTTCGACTTCAGATATTCTTTCTTCTGCTTGGTCAATTCGGCTATTGAAACTTGCGTTTGCTTCGCGAAGTTCTCGTATTGTGTTTTTCAGCTCCTTTAATTCATTCATATTCCTCTCTAAGGTATCCATTCTTGTTATCATTTCCTCGAATCTTTTTCAAATCTTTTTTCAAGGTTCTTAGTTTCTTTGCATTGATTTAATACATGATCTTTTAGCTCACAAAAGTTTCTCATTATCCATCTTCTGAAGTCTAATTCCGTCATTTCGTCACAGTCATTCTCCGTCCAGCTTTGTTCCCTTGCTGGTGAGGAGTTTTGGTCCTTTCTAGGAGGCGATGTGTTCTGGTTTCGGGTGTTTTCCTCCTTTTTGCGCTGGTTTCTTCCCATCTTTGTGGATTTGTCCGCTGGTCGTCTGCGTAGTTGCTGACTTTTCGTTTGGGTCTCTGAGTGGACACCCAGAATGTTGATGATGAAGTATTTCTGTTGCTTGGTTTTCCTTCTACCAGTCTAGCCCCTTCGCTGTACGACTGTTGAGGTCTGCTCCAGACCCTGCTTGTCTGGGGTGCACCTCTAGTAGCCGTGGCACAGCGAGGGATGCTACCAGTTTCTTTTTCTGCTCTCTTTGTCCCAGGATGATGCCTGCCTAATGACAGTCTTTTGGATATAGAGGGGTCAGGGAGCTGCTTGAGGAGACAGTTTGTACTTTATAGGGGTTTAATTGCTGAGCTGTGCACTCTGTTGTTCATTCAGGGCTGTTAGGCTGCTATGTTTGATTCTGCTGCAACACAGCTCATTAAACAACCCTTTTTTTTTTCTCAAATGCTCTGTGTTGAGGGGTTTGGGCTTTATTTTTGGATGTCCGATCAGGTGTCCTGCCCAGCTCAAAGGCAGACTAGCCACTGTTTGGCTGCGGAGGCTCCGCCCTGCTGTTGTGTGATTCACGCTGTTCCTGCCGGCTCTGCTGTGGTCTCCGCCACACCCTGCGGCGGAGTCTCTTCGTTGTAGCGTGTTGCCTCAGCAACGGCAGGCTGCGTCAGCAGTGGGCGTGTATCTCAGTAGGGACGGGTTGCCTCGGCAACGGCTGGCTGCGTCAGCAGTGGGCGTGTATCTCAGTTGGGGCGGGTTGCCTCGGCAACGGCTGGCTGCCTGCCTCAGCAGTGGGCGTGTATATCAGTTGCCTCCGTAGTGGTGGACGCCCCTCCCCCACAGAGCGTCTCGGACCGTCTGCCCAGGATAGTTTGAAATCGCGGTTTTGTTCGTCCCACTGGGTATCCCAAGCGATCTGTCCCTGCAATCCCCTGGGCTGGGCTACTGTGCAAGTCTCGTTCAGTCTCAAGTCCAGCCCTCTCAAGTCTCAGGTTGCCGGTTCATCAAGGCACCCGGACAAGCGCGCCCTGTGGGGATTGCTGGGTAGGGCCGGCCGCCGCCGCCCCGGCTGCCGGCTTCGCCAGGCAGACCTACTGCCTGGCGTCCTGTGTCTTTTTATACTTGGGAGTTTCCCCGTTCTGTGGGCAACAAAGATCAGTCTGGAAATGCAGCACTGACTCACCGTTTGCGAATTCAACGCGGGCTCCAATCCTGGGTTGTTCTCACAGCGCCATCTTGAGTCCCTCAAATGGATTTTATATAACTACCTCATTCTATGTGTGTTATATATATTAATAATGGTATATTTATTTTCTGGATGAGTGGAAGCACTCCCTTGTCAAAAAGCCAGCACTTACAATGGCTAAAAAAGGATTAGAGTTTGTGTTTCCCACCGAGGACATTACATCTATCTAATAATACAGAGACACATTAAGTTGGAATGGTTTTTCATGATTTGAATTATAAAAGCTTTGCCTTTTATACAAATCCTTATTGCTCATATCACTTCAATCCTCTGGAGAAATAGAAAATGTCTTAATCAAATCAGAAAGTTATTAGAGATCCCAAAGTTCTCTGAAGGGCTTTCAGAAGATGATCTGCAGGAGTTGACTGCTAACCCAAAAGCCTCAGAACAAGCAGATAACCCACAAAATAGTTGGCTTCTGCCTAAGACCATCCGAACAAGATTCTTCTGTCACATTCTCTTTAACATACCTTTGTCTGTTATTCTGTGGATCATACTCCTCTATTTACTGGTTTAAGCTTAGGTAGTTGTGATTTAGCTATCATAATACCTCTTATAACAAATACAAGCTTTACTAAAAATGATTATCAATCTAACTGTATCTTTCTCCCAATCTAGTATAGCCAATCTAAAAAATAATATAAAGGCATATTACATTAATATATCAATAATGGTACCTTTTAAGGACAATACATAAGTGAATAAAATGTCCTTGTTCTGGAAAAGGAGGATATAAATATTCTTGTCATATTACTGTGACTGTCATGACAACATAAGGGATAATACATTTACAATCCATTAAAGTTAATGATCTCCCTGGTGTAGTAAGTGGGATCTTTTTCCTTTATGGAATTCAGCACTAAGGTTTTCAATGCCAACCATGGTCCAAGGTTAATTATTCTGGGGGGCTCCTGGTTAGGCTGTTTTAAGGTTATAATTCTCCAATACTCTCAATTGACTATATATCTTTATAAAGAGTCCAAAGGGACAGATCCCTTTTTAGGGAGACTCCTGAATTAGTCCATTCTCACATTGCTATAAAGAACTACCTGAGACTGGGTAATTTATAAAGAAAAGAGGCTTAACTGACTCACAGTTCCACAGGCTGTACAGTAGCATGGCTTTTGGGAGGCCTCAGGAAACTTATAATCATGGCAGAAGGGCGAAGGGGAAGCACGTCTTCACATGGCAGCAGGACAGAACAAGTGAATGGGGAGTTACACACTTTTGAACAACCAGATCTTGTGAGAAGTCACTCATTATCAAAAGAACAGCAAGGGGGAAAACTGCCCCCATAATCCAATCACCTTCCACCAGGCCCCTCCTCCTCCATCACTGGGAATTACAATTCAACATGAGATTTGGGTGGGGACACAGAGCCAAACCATATCAACACCTGAGGATAGTGACCTATCCTATAGGAGTTTGACAACTTGAGGACACCACAAAAAATGTGTTCTTTCACTTCAGCTGACCCAGCAAATAACACAGCCCAACCCTTGGAGATACAGCAAATAATTTAAATTTTTCTTAACCAGGCATCTTCTTAGTCTGTTCTGCTGCTATAACAAAATAGCTGAGACTGAGTAATTTATAAAAAACATACATTTATTTCTTGCAATTTGGGATGCTGGGAAGTCCAAGATCAAGATATTTGCAGATTTGATGTCTTAGGGAGGTCTTCGTCCCGTTTCTAAGGTGGCACCTTGTTGTTGTGTCCTCCAAAAGGGCTGAATGCTGTGTCCTCACATGGTAGAAGGTAGAAGGGCAAAATGGCCTAAGCTAGTTCCCTCCAGCCCTTTAATGAAGCACTACTGCATTCCTGAGGGCAGAGCCCCAAGTGCCTCCCAATTAATAACACTTCCCCAGAGACCCTGAAGGCCCCCCACTTAATACCACCACAGTAAGAATTAAGTTTCAACATGAATTTTGGAGGGGACACATTCAAACCGTAGAACCAAAGCAGTTATAGGTAATAAAATAGCCATGAATTATTTTCTTTTTCCAACCAGAGAGGTGTATGCACCAGTGCTAATACTTCATATGTACCTTGGTTAACAAAATAGTTGTTTGATGTCTGTTGTTCAGTCTCAAATGCTTCTACAGAGCCACTGAACTAACATATGATGTTATAAGCACCAAAAGGGGCACAAAGAATAAAACATTTACATCCTCGCAAAAACAGACTGTTTAGAAGCCATGAGAACAAGCAGCTAGTTTTAACTACCAGTTTTTAACTTGTCCACTAGATCAATGCCAACTTGCCTTTTTTCCCTTTTTGAGACAGAACTTAGCTCTGTTGCCCAGGCTGGAGTGCACTGGCATGATCTTGGCTCACTATAACCTCCAGCTCCTGGGTTCAAGTGATTCTTGTGCCTCAGCCTCTCAAGTAGCTGGTACAACAGGTGTGCACCACCACACCTGGCTAATTATTGTATTTTTAGTAGAGACAGGCTTTCACCATGTTGGCTAGGCTGGTCTTGAACTCCTGGCCTCAAGTGATTTGCCTGCCTTGGCCTCCCAAAGTGCTGGGTTTACAGGTGTGAGCCACTACACCCGACCAATCTGCCTTTTTGCACATGATTTTACAAACCTGAAAACCAGTGAGAGTCCTTTATTCCTAAGGTTAAACAGAAATGGACCCACTCCCATTTACATGTTTCTGAATATGATCAATAAATAGTCTCACTCTAGTAACCACACTCTACAGATTTTGATATGAATTCCATTATTTCCAAAAAATCTATATGAGATTAACAGTCTGCTCTGCTCAAGGACTATGCCTGAACAACAGGTTCTCCCTTACTATATAATAAGCAATAAAATCAGCTTTCTCTTTTATATCAGATATTGAGTGGTAGGCTCATCAACCTTTGACAGTCTTATATTTGATATTATTTCCAGTTTCATGATTGCTTACTTGATTTAAGTCCTGATAATAGCAGCAGCAGCCATGATTACTTGAGTATTAATTAAGCCAGGTGGTATGCCATCCACTTACATATGTCAAATCTGGATTACCTAATCTACCACTCAACATCTGAAATAAAAAGACAAAGCTGAACTTATTGTTTAATTACAGTAAGGAAGAGCTATGTTGGTCAGGCATAGTCTCCCTGAGCAGAACAGACTGCTGCATTCTATAACTTTTTAAATGACAAAGCAAGCTGTAAACATAATCTCTGAAATGCCTTATTTGAGAAAGGAGATATTAGCCTTTTAAAAGAAATGCTGGGCCAGGCACAGTGGCTCATGCCTTTAATCCCAACACTTTGGGAGGTCGAGGCGGGCAGATCACGAGGTCAAGAGATCAAGACCATCCTGGCCGACATGGTGAAAACCGATCTTCACTAAAAGTACAAAAATTAGCTGAGTGTAGTGCTGCATGCCTATAGTTCCAGCTACTCAGGAGGCTGAGGCAGGAAAATTGCTTGAACCTGGGAGGTGGAGGCTGCAGTGAGCCAAGATTGTGCCACTGCACACCAGCTTGGCAACAGAGCAAGACTCCATCTCAAAAGAAAAGAAAGAAAAATGATATGCTGGTAATTACCCAACTCAGAAATAAGTTTACAAGACAGCAAGGACTCTACCATTTTTCACACAATTCTATTTCCAGGAATTTTCTACTACATGTTGGAGTAGGACACATCATTGAAACAAAGTATCATATCATTTAGTAGCAATATCATTTAGAACCTTGCTAAAAACTTTTTCATAAAACATACTTATTAGAAAAACAGACAAAAATCATGCAACACGATCTCCTATCATTCAACAAACTAATATAAATTTATTGGGTGGAAAATGTGAAAAGGGACAAAAAAAAAAAAAAAAACCGGAGTAGTTCTGTACTGATATAAGAGTTCATAAAATTATAAACTCAGGTCTGAAATCTTCAGCCCACATCAAAGACTTTAAGCTCTTATGACTGTAGAAACAGACAGCCCTGGCTGCCAGGCTCGTGGAATCATGGAGTGGAGCTATACATAAAGAAGTACCCTTGTCAAGGACATTACTTCCTCTGTACCTCAGAATGATACTTCTTAGGCATGGGCCTAAGATTCTGTTTTTTCTCCCATCGATGCAGAACACGTTGGCTGGACATGACATCATGTCTTACATCTTGGTCCTGTTGGAAAGAAAATACACCTAACATTGACTGTTCAAAGCTAACTGCAGCCATCTGTACCTGTTTTGCCTGTATACATGTCATTTATTCATGAAAACAGGTGATTTTAATCTAAAAAGTCTGTGACAGGTGGAACTTTGTAAGGAAAAAAACTGGTTTCCTAGCATTAGTGTAAGGAAACGAGAGATGAATGGAGAGAATAGCGCGATGATGACAGAACTTCGGTAATTAGAAATCCCAGAAGCAACAAGTAGAAAATTGTTTAAGACATCCATGTCTTAATCTTACCTCTTCCTGACACCTGTCTTCCCCAGAAGGCCTCTGCAACCGGTTTTTTGTCAGCTCAAGTTGTAGACCATCAAACCTGTGCTTAAACCAGCGATGAGCTTGCTCCAGATTAGCGGTTATCTGAACATATAAATGTCACCATTAATAGACACAAAGAAAGTTACAAGTTTTTTTTGTATATTAGTTGCAGACTTTTTACTTAGAAATTAAAAGACCCAAATTCTGACTGCATGTTCTTTGCAAACTATTTGCACAACATACTTAACAACCTATACGTGAGAGTAATTTCTGAGTGAGTGGTTAAAGAATGCATTGATGGTGTTGGGAAAACTGGATAGCTATGTGCAGAAAGCAGAAACTGGACCCCTTCCTGTCACCTTACACTAAAATTAACTCCAGATGGATTAAAGATTTAAACATAAAACATAACACCATAAAAACACTAAAAGAAAACATCGGCAAAACCATCCAGGACATAGGCATAGGCAAGGACTTCATGACTAAAACACCAAAAGCATCAGCAACAAAAGCCAAGATAGACAAATGGAATCTAATTAAAATTCAGAGCTTCTGTGCAGCAAAAGAAGCCATCATTAGAGCAAACTGGTAACCAACAGAATAGGAAAATATTTTTGCAATGGAATCTACCCATCTGACAAAGGGCTAATATCCAGAATCTACAAATAACTAAAAACAGACATACAAGAAAAACACAAACAACCCCATTCAAAAGTGGGCAAAGGATATGAACAGACACTTTTCAAAAGAAGACATATATGAGGCCAACAAACATATGAGAAAATGCTCATCATCACTGGTCATTAGAGAAATGCAAATCAAAACCACATTGAGATACCATCTCACACCAGTTAGAATGGCAATCATTAAAAAAATCTGGAGACAACAGATGCTGGAGAGGACGTGGAGAAAAAGGAACACTCCTACACAGTTGGTGGAGTGTAAATTAGTTCAACCATTGTGGAAGACAGTGTGGTGATTTTTCAACGATCTAGAAATAGAAATTCCATTTGACCCAGCAATGCCATTACTGGGTATATACCCAAAGAACTATAAATCATTTTACTGTAAAGATACATGCACACACATGTTCTTTGCAGCCTTGTGCACAATAGCAAAGACCTGGAACCAACCCAAATGCCCATCAATGATAGACTGGACAAAGAAAATGTGATACATATACACCGTGGAATACTATGCAGCCATAACAAATTATGAGTTCGTGTCCTTTGTAGGGACTTGGATTAATCTGGAAGCCATCATTCTCAGCAAACTGACACAAGAACAGAAAACTAAACACCGCATGTTCTCACTCATAGATGGGTGTTGAACAATGAGAACACATGGACTCAGGGAGAGGAGCATCACACACTGGGGGCAGTTGACGGGGTAGGGGAGGGACTGAGGAGGGTTGGAAGGGATAACATGGGTAGAAATGCTGGATATAGTATACACCTAAAGTAAAATAAAAAAATAAAAAGAATGCATTGCAGATTTGCTGCTTTTCATGTGTTTATTAATGTTTCCTGGATGTGAAGTAATATAAGAGAGGACCCAGGAGAAAATTAAGAATGAAAGTACAAGATGTCTTTGAAAAAAGAAATATATGGAAGACTCTTAAGAATGTAGTAGTTCATGGGCCAGGTGTGGTGGTTCATATCTGGAATCGTAGCACTTTGGGAGGCCAAGGCTGGTGGATCACCTGAGTCCAGGAGTTCAAGACCAGCCTGGCCACATGGTGAAACTTCATCTCTACAAAAAATACAAAAAATTAGCTGGGCATGGTGGTACACCATGCACTCCAGCCTGGTGATAGAGAGAGACCCTGTCTCAAAAAATATACATGATTTTGAAATACTCCACAAAAGGCCAATTTAAGTTTAGAATACAGAAAACAAATACACAAATTAGTTAAATAGGGACTACTTTATTTTTTTAGTTATTGATTGATTGAACAAAGAGCATCTACTTTCAGTAGGGTCATGTCAAATAATAATGCATTAAAATCCACACACATGCTGGACTTCCCTTATATTTAGTAGGGAGACTTGGACTTCAGGTTTAATATTTTAGCATTGTTATCTACCATCTATCATCAAGACACAGACTCTTAATCTAAAAATCACTCTTTACAATAGAGACTACACTTAGGAAGTTACTGGTTCTTGCCTATTGCATTTCTGACAACTATATTAATGAAGGATTTCATATTGACTTGGGTTGTTTCAGGGTTGTTGTGTTGAAGGAAACTTGTCTAAGTCTGGCTTGTCTGGGTCTGGCTCACCTGTTCTGATTCCACACTAGCTTCTTTCAGTTTATTCTCTGTTGCCTCTTTACATTTCTTCAGGTGCCTGACAGTTTCTTTTAATTTCTGAAAATGTGATACAAAGATTTTTATAAACTTCCAGTGTGCCATCAGGAACCAAATGCTTCACTATTATAATAAATGGGCAACCAAAGATGAAAGTAGGATGGAGTGCCTTCTAACTTCAGGTGCTGCCAACATATGAGGTGAAAACTGTGATTTTCAGTTTAGCCTATAGTCTACATATGTGGATATAATTACACATTTTGATTTTTCAGTTATGGATTCTGTTGAGGAAAGTGATTAATCTCTTTTCAGAACTGGAAAGATACTTCTCATGACAAACCCTATTGAAAGACAAGAGCTCAGAGATCTCTTGAAGTCCCTTTTCAGTGATATGATGTTATGCTTTTTATTCATCTATGAATACCTAAGAATCTTGTAACAGCAACAGGTGTATCTGTGCTAGGAGAAGAAATGAGGTGTCTACAGCTCCTGAAAGGCTATGAAATTCAGTTCAGAGGTCTTACTTAGGTAACTGATACTTTGCATATGTAAGCTCTAGATGTTCTTTAAAAATTTACATTACTTTTATTAAATTGAAAATGGAGAACATTTGCCACATTCAAACTACAGCCTTCATCCTCCATACTATTATTCTAAGGATTTAGCTAAGACAAACAATTTGTAAATGTGTGTCGTCTTCTGTAGACTCTAGAAAGTCTAGGTCCAATACTACTGGGCTTTGGCACATGCCATTTGCTGATCATCTTTAAGATAAATCTTAGGAAACCTTTTACCTGGCACTGATTCTCTAGCTCCTGCCTTATTTTCCACTCTGCTTCTAGGCGCTGCTCTTGTTGTTTATTCCGTACTGAGGCATCATATTGGCTCTTGGCCAACATCTGCATCTCTTTCTGCAGGTTAGTCATTTCACACACAAATCTCTGGATACTCAAAGACTGGAAGAATACAAAGATGAAGACATTTGGAGAACACCCTCCAAGTTTGAGATTTTGCATGAGAGGTAAACATAGAGTATATGGAAATCATCTACCTGTTCAAAGTTTTTTTTCTGATATTGATCCTTAATTAGCTCCATTTCCTTCAATTCTGTTTCTATTTGCTAAAAGTAAATGGAAAATAACATAAAAAGATGATCAGTGGAAAAACTGGCTTGCTTTTTTTTGACTATGGGATGACAGACAGAATCCACTATGAGACCCAAAGTTACCAGTTCCTGCTGAGTTTTCTTTCCCATCTGGCCCAATGATCCTAAAAGAGTAAAGTCCAATACAATCAACATGGAAGGGACAGATGGGGAGCCAGAATGTGACACTGGTAGCAAATGAAAAATCAAACATTTACACAGCAGTGTGTCCACTGAAAAAGAGTCTCCCCAAAGGCAACTGGCTGTAACTTCCAGAGAATACATAGGATGGGTCGGGTTCTAAAACCTGTCTTCCCCAGACACCACTGACTGCCCACATCCTCACAGGGTACCCAGGAAGTGAGAAGAGGTTTCTCGTATAACCTTCATCCTTTCCATATTTTGAGCATTATTCGCCCTAGTTGACAAGTGGAGCTTTATTTGGGCCTTCTGATTCTTTATTTTCTCCTTGTTACTTTCTAGCATTTTTTCTAGCTCTGCAAGTTTCTGTCGCAGCTCTCGGTTGGTCCGGGACACTTCCACTGATCTGACGTTAGCTTCATCAAGGGCTTTCTTCAGCTTAAAACACAAAGGAAAAAATTGAAACATTTTTACTTTCCATTAAGAGAAGCTTAGTTAGTTTTGTCCTCATATTTTGTTGTCTTTGGATCTTTCTTTTTAAAAGGAGCATTAGTAAGGCAATAATGTCTGATTAAGCAGATTTATGGAGCAACAGACCAAGTGGTTTTCACAATTTTTATCACTAAAGAACAAAATCTTTTTTGGAATAGATAAAGAATGTAAATGTATATTCAGTATTTGCATTTTAAGAGCCTAGCTTTGGAGTCAGATTTCAGTCCAAATATCAGCTTCAACACTTACTAGGCTCAGTGTTTTGGGGCAATTAACTATCTTAAGCCTCAGGTTCATCATATGAACAGTGTGTATATAGTCTAACTCATAGGATACAAATAACAAATAAGATCATATAGAGAAAGAAGTAGAGTCTGGCACACAATAATTACTCTGTGATTATCATGCTATAAGCTCTTCTCTTTCTGTCACTTATAACCTCAGTCTGAAGAAATGAAAATGAATTATATGGCAGTTTCTATAAATATCTGTCAGCTGTTGACTGTCATGGCACATATTTTTATCATTTTGTTTTTTGTTCTTAAGGATTTTAATTTCTCTCGTGAAAAAAACTGCATAGTTACTTAAATAATTGTACAGAGTTCCATCCTTCTAATATGCCGTTAAAGCAGTGCTATTTGAAAACTTTAGGAGCAAGAGGTAGTTGCAAAGGGAGAAAACAGGAAGGTGGTATTCTCTATGGCTGGCAGCATTTAGAACAGCAAAGAGTAAAGTCAAGGGTGTCTGTACCTTTTCTCTCTATACTAGTTCCTTCTTTTAGATCCTAACTTTACACTACAGTCTTTTATTACTACTTAACTAACTTTCTGTTAGTCCACTGTTACCTCAATCACAGCCTTTCTAAAACTGGTTAAGTCCTAACAACTATCAATTACTTTGTACTGATTAAGTTCAGGCACTGTGATAATTACTTCATAAATGCTTTCCAATTTAATTCTCAAAACAAACTTGTTAAGTAGTTGTGATGGTTTACATGTTATGATTGAGGAAACTGAAACTCAGAAATTAAGTCACTTATTCAGACAATAAATTAATACACAGTAAGATGCAGAGCTGGGACTCAGGCAGTGCTCCGTGAGCCTATTGGTGCTGCCAACTTCCCACTGCTGTCACACTTTCACTGTTCTTCACTGTCACTGATCCTTCAAAGGATTTCAGTTTTGTAATTATTCTCAACTAAAGGTACATTTCTACAGTTAGCACATCTTTAGGTTCCCTAATTCTTCTATAAAAAGCAGAATTTGCTTTTTATAACATTTATATTTATATAGTGCTTTGCAATTCACAAAATTGTTTTATATGCCATTATTTGAGTTTGATTTTGTGAATAGTTTCCATCAATTGCAACTACTAAATGTAACAAATTTGGTGAAACACAGACCATCCATGCCAACCAAGGAATTATTTTAATTCCTCCCTCTCCACTATACAACATTTAATGTCTGTTTGATGATTTTTCTTTTCTTGAGATAGAGTCTCACTCTTGTCGCCTGAGCTGGAGTGCAGTGGTGCGACCTCAGCTCACGGCAACCTCCTTCTCCCAGGTTCAAGTGACTCTCATGCCTCAGCCTCCTCTGAATAGCTGGGATTACAGCCACCTACCACCGTGCCTGACTAATATTTTATATTTTTAGTAGAGATGGAATTTCACCATGTTGGCCAGGCTTGTCTCAAACTTCTGACCTCAGGTGATCTACCTGCCTTGACCTCCCAAAGTGCTGGGATTACAGGGGTGAGTCACCATGCCTGGCCTGTTCGATGATTTTTCTATTGGCTTTCCTCTATTTTTCAACTGAACTACTTTGCTTGGCCCTAATCATCTAATACTCAAATTAACTGTTGTAGTTTTCTTGAGCCTCCATGCTTCCAGTTTCTCTTTATTCTTCTCTATTATCTTCTGCTGTTACATTAACCTTCCTAAACTCATGCCTCTATCTTGCCATCCCCTGCTCACTCTTAAGTGGTACTCCATTTCTACTTAAGAGTTCACATCCAACATTTCCATAACTAAGGCCATCCATCAGGTGGTTCCATGTAAGTTAATACTCTTTCTCTAACATTTTCCAAAGTCTCTGCTCTAATCAAAACAGGCTACTTTTCATCTGTTAACATATCCTGTTCATTTTTGAAAGTAAGCTTGGCCTGTGCTGTTTTGTAAGGTGTCCAGCCCTGTTATCTCTGCTAGTCTCAATCCTGTACTCTCATTAAGCTTTCCTTCTTCTATCAACCAAATGGTCTAAAATAAACTTTCTCTTACTTTGAATTCCTTCAAAATTGCACACAGCCTCTAGCTACCCAAGAAAGTTCTCTGATGTTTTCCCTATTTGTCTCATGTCCAGAGTGGAGATCACAAACAAGGGTCATTTGGCACACGCAAGGGCATGGACCATATCTTCTACTGTTTTCCCTATCTCTCTCAGGAAATGGTAGATGCAGAATAGATGCGAGTTAAGTGAACTGAGAAGAGAGATGATTTCATTTCTGTCTATCACATGGCAGTCTCCTTATTCCTCTATCCCTCTTGGTTGTCACCCTGATGGAAAATCTCCCATCAAGGTACTCCTTTGTTAGGCAGAGAATTATATGTCAGAAAACTTTTTTCTTATGCGTTGCTTTACAGAGAGGTCTCAATTGCATCTGGCTTGCTGGTCAAAAGAGGATGAGAAGAGTCAAAGGACAACTGTGGCTATTCTCTGAAATCTTGGAGCTGCTTATCCTCCTAAGAGGCATTCACCAAGAGAAACTTTTCTCATGACTCTATACCTCAGCCACTTCCCGTTGTGCCACTTTCTTTGCAGTTTCTCTCTCAGTTTGAAACTGCTTTCTTAGAGCTTCTATGTGTTCAGCATGCAATTCTGCTTCCACTTTGGACTCTTCAGTCATCCGTTCTCTGTTTTGAAGAAAAGAGGTGAGAAGTCACCTTTAGAAATCACTTTAAGAGGTAAGAAAGTTTTGGAGGGGAGTGTCCCACTCTAAAAGGTGTGTGATTTATAAACAAGCAGCCCATCAGTAGCCTGGTGAACCTCACTAATTTGGAGTTCATTAACAAAAGAAAAAAGAAGTGAATTTACCTGTAATATTAAAAAACATTAATTCTACGTAAAGAGATCCAACCAAATGAGTAAAAAACTCACATTAAAGAAAAATATTAGAGGAAGCAGAAATACTTTAAGAGATATTAGTTTTTGTCTTTTCTCTTGCCTTTGTCTCTTCAAACAAAACCATTATTTGCACAGCACTGTATTTTGATTTTCTTAATAACTTTCTAAATTGCCTTTAAATTTATTCTGTTTATTATAGTAAAGTGATTAAGACTATGGGTTTTGGAGTCAGCCTGCTGCCGCCACCTGTATTGTAATCTCAGCTCTAGTAAGATGATGTCTTTTTGCTGGCAGCTATTTACCATTTAAATATTAACTTCTAATAATATTATTCCTTGGCCAGGCTCGGTGGCTCAAGCCTGTAATCCCAGCACTTTGGGAGGCCGAGGCAGGTGGATCACGAGGTCGAGAGATCGAGACCATCCTGGTCAACATGGTGAAACCCCGTCTCTACTAAAAATACAAAAAATTAGCTGGGCATGGTGGCCTGTAATCCCAGCTACTTGGGAGGCTGAGGCAGGAGAATTGCCTGAACCCAGGAGGTGGAAGTTGCGGTGAGCCGAGATCGCGCCATTGCACTCCAGCCTGGGTAACAAGAGCGAAACTCCGTCTCAAAAAAAAAAAAAAAAAAAAAAAAAAATTATTCCTTATCTTTAAACTGAGAACTTTAAATTAGATCAGCATTCCTAACTTGAACTCTTCGTTCAAGACCCATGGTTAATCTTCTGAGAATGTGGGAATTCCCTGAAATAATATGCAAAATGTGTATGTGTGTGTGAGGGGGTATAGCTGAGTCTATAGCTTCTGACTTTTAAAAGGATAAATGACTTCAAAAAGGACTAAATGGACTTAAACAATTACTAGGCTTCTTCCAGCTTTAACATTCTCTGATCTAGCTGATAATGACTTACTCTATGATTACTCTTGAGTTACTGGTTATTTTCCAAAGGGTAAGAGGAGCCTGCCCTGACATGAAATCATCTTCATTTTCCCTCTCTCTCCTGATCATCTTTTGCTCTTATTTGGATATATCAATGTTCCAATTTGGATATATCAATTTGGATAATATATCAATGTTCTTCATGTGTGTCTAAAAGCACATCTACTAATGGATTCAGTCTGTTCAGTGGGCTTGGTCTTGCAGACTTGCAGGTAGTAACTGCAACTGTCCCTCCAGTCCCCCAGGCAGGAATGTATCAACAAACTTTGGTACATCACATCTAAAAAGTTGCTGAAGCCTGTCCTCAAGGCACAGCATAAAGGGCTGGAAGATCCTGAAGTCACTAGGGGTAATGATGGTTCTTTCTTACATTCCCACACTCCTCCCTATGCCCACATCAATCTGGAAAATGAGCAAAAAATTCATGGAGCTATAGAAAGAGAACAAAACCCTCATTTGTACAGTACTGTATTTTGATTTTCTTATAAATTTCTAAATTGCTTTTAGACTCTAAAGTTTTGGAGTCAGCCTGCTGCTGCCTGCATCCTAGTCCCAGCTCTAGTAAGATGATGTCTGGCCTTGAGTATGGTACACCTACTTCCCCTGCTTGTTTCCTTATCTTCAAAATGGGAATAATAACACTAACCACCATCACAGGGTAATAGTTTGTACTAAAGGAAATAATGCATGTGAAGTCCTGAGCATATTACCCAACATATCATGATCATGTAACAAATATTAGCTATTGTCATCATCATCATCTAGCTCTAAAAATTCAAATTCTAAATTTTAGATTTTTAAGTTAAATTTTTTATTAACTTTAATTTTTAATTTAAAAATTTCTCTGAAGTCTCTACCTCTGCCCTAAGCCCCTACATAGCACTTCAACTTCAACTCTTACTTTTCTTCTTCTTTTTACTGTGGTAAGAACATTTAACCTGAGATCTACCCTCTTCACAAATTTTAAGCAAACAATATAGTGTTGTTCACTATAGCCTAGCCCTGTGTTACACAGCAGGTCTCTAGAATGTATTCATCTTGCTCTTTTTTCTTCTAAGGAAAATTGCAGACCCTCTACCAATCAGCTTCCTCAACAGTCTTCTGAAGACTCACCCAGCTTTTGCTTCCCTCTAAACCCAAAGGAAGAAATAGCCAACCTCATCTCTAAAGATAACCCTTCTGCTTATCCTCTCTCTTGTTCTCCAGTTCAACCGAGTTCTTTCCCATACTCTTTAATCATGGTCCAGTTTCTCTCATTCTAAAAACAGGACGGCAGCAGAATACCTTTTCTTTATGTTATACTCTTGGGCTGCTATACAATCTTCTTTACCTTCACCATTGTCCTCCTTGCCTGCCTTTCCTCGTTATTACTCTTTGTTATCTCCTATATCTACAGAAACTGATCATCTGGAGGATGAGCCGTAGATATCTGTTGCAAAATCCAGTGGCTTCCTCTCTGGTCTTCGACTCTGCAGCATCTGACTCACTTTTAGTTTGCCTTTGGTGATATTACATTCTCCTGATTTTTTTTTTTCTTACCTCCACTAAATGCTCCTTTTCTGGATCCTTCTGTGGCCTCTGTTCCCCTTCTACCTGAAATGCAGCACATCTCCAAGTTCTGACCTTGGTTCTCTCTCTATACTTTGCCCGTGGCAGTCTAACCCATTCCAAGGCTTTATCTTTTATCTTTTTTTTTTGAGATGGAGTCTTGCACTGGTGCCAGGCTGGGGGTTTCACCGTGTTGGCCGGGATGGTCTCGATCTCCTGGCCTTGTAATCCGCCCACCTCAGCCTCCCAAAGTGCCTGAGATTAGAGCCGTGACCCATTACGCCTGGCCTTTAGCTTTTATCTTCATAGAGATGAATTCCAACTCGCAGCCTATTAGAACTAAGCCTACATTTCCAAATCTATTAAATAACCACCTGAAACTCAACAAGTTCTCCAAAACCTGCTCTGTCTTCCTAAGCTTGCACACTGATAAGCACAGTTCTGCATATGATTTTAGGAGGTTCACAGATCTCAAGAAGCATAATTTACCTATGATGAAAATCCAAACTATTATCATAAGCAGTGACATAAAGGTAAATTCTGAAGCAAATGCTGCAAAGAGACCTCTAACTCTAACCTCATGCTTTTACTGTGAATGACCTAACCATGTTTTTTTGTTTTGTTTTGTTTTTTCCTTTTTGGTTTTGTTTGTCATAAGCAGTATTAGCAGGAACTACATTTTATAGTTACCTAAATAATTTTCAGGCTTTTGAAACCATTATTAACCATCTAAACCATAATTACCTAAACTGACACTGAAGAGTTTTAAATGATGCTGCCAATCGTTACATAAACACAATAAGGAACAATCTTAAGGCAGTAACATTTCAGCTGAATATAAAATTTGCAGAGATCATATATCTGGAAAATACTGTCTTTGTTTCAGCTTATACCTCTTTCTTCTATCAACATGCTCACTAAATGAAAAGAATAAATATCTAGGCCAGGAACGGCAGTTCATGCCTGTAATCCCAGCAGTTTGAAAGGCCAAGGCAGGTGGATTTTGAGCCCAAGAGTTTGAGACAGCCTGGGCAACATGGAGAAATCCTATCTCTAAAAAAAGAATACAAAAAAATTAGTCAGGTGTGGTGGTACATGCCTATAGTTCCAGCTACTCAGGAGGCTCAGGTGGGAGAACTACTTGAGCCCAAGAGATAGAAGCTGCAGTGAGCCATGATCACACCACTGCACTCCAGCCCGAGCAACAGAGTGAGACCCAGTCTTAAGTTATAATAAATAAAAATACATAAAGGAATAAAGATCTATGTGCACACTGTATTTCCATTAAGTATAAATTTTCACGGAATGCTATTAATATGTAAATAATATCTACCTATGTATAATTTAAGGTAAAACTTTAGTCATTTAATCTGAACTGGATAGATCTCATCTAACTAATCTCAGATCAAAACTGAAAACATTTAATGGCTTAACATCTGCTTAGATTGAGTCATTCCACCCAGGCTGATGTTTTTTTCTTGTCTAAATCATACCTTTAAAGAACATATAAGCTGTTAATAGAAAAGCCTTCATAGAAACATGTGAATGTCTCTTCTAATCAATATTCTTTAAGTTTTGGTTTAACCTTCATGTAAAACAGCAGCTTGATAGAGGATGAAGGAAAAGCTGAGAAGGAAGTCAAATGAGGATGCTCTAACCAGCTATTATCTGCTGGTGCTCAGCTATGCCTGGTCCTTAACATGGCTCTGCTGGGAGTACTTGTTCAAAGTAGGAGAAAAGGGTTTAACTGATTTATGTGAATGAGCCATTTATGTGAATGTGACTTACTCCTCCAGAGGCACTTCCCCAATTTTACTGTGACTATACTGCCCTTACTTGAAGATTTCCAAATTCTGTCGCTCAAGTTCTTTGCTTTCTAATTGCTCTTGCATATGATCTAGCTTTGTTTGCAGATGATTATATGTCTGGACAGCTTGTTCCAGACTCATAGCCAGTTTCCTGTTATCTTCTCTAGCTATATCTAGAGCTTTTTGTAGAGATTCAATCTGAAAGAGAGAAGAATGTTTTCAATTGCACTGTAACAAATAGATGCAAGACGTTCATAACACTGTGTAATCACTCCTCACATTCTAACATCAAATACTACTGAAACAATTAGTTGGAACCAGAAGCAAAGATCACAGGTGCCTGGAATATATATGTGAGAACTTATTACAGATATTGCTTAGGAAACCCTTAGAAACCAACAGGAAAGGTATGCTCCATTAGTCAACAGAGAGCTTTGGTAAACAAACCCACCTTAATTTATCCTAATTTTTAAATTTTTAAACTAAATTCCCCTTCCTGATCCTATGACCTTCTGCTCTCACTCCCTAGAGGAAAAAAAAAGACCTGTCAACTGTTCCTTATAGGAAAAAAGCCTTATTTATTAAATATCAATGTGTATTTTATATGTGCATATAGATACATATACAGGTATATACACATGCCCATGAGCACATGTGTGTAGGTGACTCCTTATTAATAGTGGGATCACTCTAGCTGCTTCTGACAGATTATATTTTCTAAGCCTATGAACTTCTGAAGTAATCTGTGCATTAATAAATGAATAAAAATGCAGACCACATAAGACAAAGAGATTAGTCATTATTGTGGTATTAGTTTGCCAATAAGTGACTCATTGTAAGACAGGTCAATTTCCCATCTGTAGGTATGTCACTGTCCAAAATTTAGACTTAACTGAAAAAAAAACCATTTTCTCAAAAACAGTAATATCTCAATAAAACCAAAAGTATCAATGTTATCATTTTTTAAAGCCTGGTGCTGACCTCACTGTTATGCTGGTCCTCCATGACAAGCATCCTGGCCTGCCACTGGTCCACTTCAGCTTCCAGCTTCTGCACCCTCTGATGATTGAGATCCCTAAAAACAGAAAACACAGAAAGAGTGACTATAGAAAAGAATCTAGGAATGATACCACTTGGGAGTTCTTCTAAGAAGATGAAATAGATGCTCAAAATATCTGAGAATTAGTACCCTCAGCTTCAGGTTAAGAAACTTAGGCTCGGCTGGTCTGAGTGCAATGGTGTTTACAACTAATTGATCACAACTGGTTACAGATTTCTTTGTTCCTTCTCTGCTCCTACTGCTTCAATTGACTAGCCTTAAAAAAAAAAAAAAGAAAGAAAGAAACTAAGGCTTCTAGGAATTAAATAACTTGTCTCATTTATAATTCAATTTGTCTTCATATATCAGGCTATCAATATGTGTTTCTGACTAACTTATGAGCTGGTAATTTTATGCTATATATTTATTTTCCTAGTGATATATGTCACTATAGTACATAATTTACTATTTCACTAGTGATACTTATCACTAGCAATAAATATACCACCTTTACAAAGATTGGCTTGCTGTTGAGATTTCTGCATCTCTATATAACAGCCACTTATAAGTTTATTGTGAATAGTAAATATTTTTAATACCATTCCCTTGACTTTTTAAAAATTCAAAGGTAATATACTTTCATACTATGTAAAAAAGATAAACACAATGAAAAAAATAAAACTCACTTGTTCTCTCATAACATAGAGGCAATATGCTCTATTAATCTCAGACTATTTATTCTTTAACCTAAAAAGAAATTTAATTTTGGAAACATTCTATGAAGAAATTTACTTATAAAACATGGCTAGAAGTGGTTCACGGAATGATTCACCTAAAATAACTATTAATCTTGAAACAGGATAGTAATAAATGGATAATTAACTCAAACTAAAGTATGTACTTAGTTTCAATTATCTTGACAATTACTACTCTGTAGAAGCAAGGACAGAATTAGGTTTACATGGTGCAGAAAGCGAGGGTAAAACAACAGTACAGCTAATGAATTTCTAGGCTATATAGTCTAGAAATTTCTTCACATTACTACATTTTAGGGGCATTCTGAATTTTTGGAAATAATATTTCTAATTCTAGATTTTCTCTAATTTGATAGTTCTCTAAACATACCATTTTACTAGATTTTTGCAAAGGAAGCTACATAAAGTGATTTCATTTATTAACTTGACACTGCTCCTTAGTACAACACAGCAATACCAATGATAGGGGGAAAAAAAACCACAGGTACCTTTCTTTCTTGAGGCCTGCAATCTCTGAATCCCTCTGCCCAAGCTCTATTTGTACTTTCTCCAGAGCACCTTGCATCTTACTGTGAGAAGCCAGGACATTCTCCAACATGATTGTGACTTTGCAGTTATCTTCTTTAGCCTCTGCCAATTGTCGCTGAAAGTTTCCCACCTAACAGAAAATGAAACAACACAAAGACATTTGATCTTTTCTGGTTACTCTGAGGCTTGTGGATCCCATTACTCCTTGGAAAGACTATAGAAAGCAGACAAGCAGATGCAGTAGGATGTTAAGGGGAAAAATTAAAGCATATTTTATTTTTAGGTGGTTTCTTAAGTTACTGTTGAGAATAAGAAAAGCTGACCCCAGATCCTATGGTGAACTCTGCAGCTTCCCAACTATGGTCATGTTACAGCAAACACATTAACTAGAGAGGCCTGACTCAGCACAACCTGCGTCCAGAGGTGATGCCAGGCTGGCCTCTTAGAAGTCTTCTGATGGGGTCAGATGGAAATAATACATCTGAAATGCATGAGAATTATCTGAGAAAAAAGTCTATAAGAGAAAGTGGAAGCTGCTGAACAATGAGGTAACTCAGAGCCCTCCTCAGAGAGGCAAAATCTAGCACTTGCTGGCAAAGAGAAGTTTGGGATGAGAACTATTCCCACTAAGCACACACACTGTTAGAGAGAAAGCATCACAGAAATCTCATATCACATTAATACAACAAAACTATAAAGGTTACTATTACCAAGATCAGTCATGTTTCAACAGAAAAAATTAGAACTTTCTCTTTTGGTATTTAAGACAGAAAGTTAAAAAAAAATTGGGAGTTATATATATGATGTAATTTTAAGGGAAAAATTTTAAACTATTCTAAAATTATCTTTTCTCTAAAAAAAGAAATCCTCCCCTGATCAATCCTCACTCTTTCTTACTAATGAAAGCAAGAAAGAAAACATATGGCTCATGAAAGATTTCAAAAGCACTTCTCAGTGACAGACAGTCAGAAGGGACTGATTCCTTGCCTTCTTGTTTTCCCTGCCCTCCATAGCCTCCAGGTCCGCTTTCAGGGCTGCGTTGTGACAATTCACTGTTCGAGACAGCTCCTCTTTACTTCTTTCAAGAATAGATATCACCTAAGCAGAAAAAAAAGAAACAATAAATAACAGTACAAAACATGACACATCAGTGATTAGAATAAGACATAGCAATTTAGAATCCAAATTTTGGATGTACAGTAGAATCTTAAATCCTTGAAACAGTTTTAGTAGATCCATACCATCAGTTCAGATAATCATACTATTTTAAATATTACTTTTTAAACTTTTTATTTTAAAACAATTTTAGGTTCACAGGATGTTGCAAAAATAGTGCAGAGTCTGATGTACCCTTCATCTTGCTTCTTCACTTTTTTTTTTTTTTTTTTTTTAAGATGGAGTTTTTCTCTGTCACCCAGGCTGGAGCCTAATGGCATGATATAGGCTCACTGCAACCTCCACCTCCTGCCTCAGCCTCCCAAGTAGCTGGAATTACAGGCGTGCACCATCACATCCAGCTAATTTTTGTAGTTTTAGTAGAGATGGGTTTCACCATGTTGATCAGGCTGATCTTGAATTCCTGACCTCAGATGATCCGCCCAGCTTGGCATACCAAAGTGCTGGGATTATAGGCGTGAGCCACCGCACCTGGCCCCTTTATCCTACTGCTAATCTCATATTGCTGTAGTTCAACATCAAATCCAGGAAATTGACATTCATAAATTGTTACCTTGATTAACCAGATTACATAATTTATTCCACTTTTGCCGCTTTTTCAACCTTTATTCATGTGTATACGTGTGTGCATGTGCATGCACACAGTTCTATGCAATTTGATCCTATTTATATATTCATGTGACCACCACCACCACCACCACCACAGCAAGACACAGAACTGTTCCATCACCAGAGAATTCCCTTGTGCTATCTCTGTATTCGCACTTCCCTCCAAAAACCCGTCCTGTCTTCTGGCAACCACTAATTTGTGCTCTTTTCTTTCCCACACTACACTGATGTACAGTTCTCTATTTCCATAGTTCTGTCCTTTCAGGAATGTTACTTTAGGCCAGGCACCGTGGCTCATGCCTGTAAATCCCAGCACTTTGGGAGGCAGAGGTGGGTAGAACATGAGGTCAGGAGACCAACCTGGCCAACATGGTAAAACGCCATCTCTACTAAAAATACACAAAAAAAAAAAAATTAGCCAAGTGTGGTGGTGGGCACCTGTAATCCCAGCTACTAGGGAGGCTGAGGCACAAGAATCGCTTGAACCCAGGAGGCAGAGGTGGCAGTGAGCCAAGATCGCACCACTGTACTCCAGCCTGGCGACAGAGTGAGACTATGTCTTAAAAACAGAAGAATGTTACTTTAAACATTTAATACATTTTTGAATAGGTAACATATGGAATTTTTGACAGCTTTACTGAGGTATAAGTGACATATAATAAGCTAAATATACTTAAAGTATAAATTTTGCTAAGTTTTGACATATGTATAAGACTTCGAAACCATAATTAAGAAAATGAACATTTCCATTATCTCCAAAAGTTTTCTTATGCTCCTTTATAATCTCCCCCTTCTGTTTCTCTTCCCACACTCCTACTGATTCTCACAAGTAATCACTGATCTGTTTTTTGTCACAATAGATTAGCTTGCATTTTCTAGAATTTTATATGGAATTGTATGCACTCTTGTTTGAATAACTTCTTTCACTCAGTGTAATTATTTTGAGAGTCATTTAACCTGTCTATATACCAAGAGTTATTTCTGTTCTTTAGTATTCTATTGTAGGGACATCACAATTTTGTTATCCATTCACTTGTGAACACTTGTGTACAAGTCTTTGTGGAGACATACTTTTATTTGTCTTTGGTAGATACTTAGTAATGCACTGACTGGGTCATATGGTGGTAGTATGTTTCACTTTTAAAGAAATTCCCAAAATAAGTTCTAAAATGGTTATACTAATAATAGGTGTGTGGTAGTATCCCACTGTGATTTTATTTGCATTTCCCCAATGACTGATGCTTAACCTCTTTTCAAGCACTTACTTACCAGCCACATATCTTTGCCGAAGAAAATATGTTTGAATTCTTGCCTATTCTTTTTCTTAGGTTTTCTTCTTAGTATTTAAATTTTAAAAATATATTTTCAATACTTTCTGGAAACAAGGCCTTAATCAGATATGTGATTTGTAAATAATTCCTTCCAATCTGTAGCTTGTCTCTCCATTCCCTTAATGTTTCTGAAGAGCATAAGGTGAAGTCTAATTTATCACTTTTGTCCCTTTATGGATCATGCTTTTGATATCAAATCTAAGAAATCTTTATGTAATCCAAGATCACAAAGATTTCTTCCTATGTTTACTTCTATAAGTTTTATAGTTTTGGGGGTTTACATTCAGATCTATGATCCATTTTAATTTTTATATATTTTGTGAGGTATGGACCAACAATACTTTGTTTTTGCATATGAATATCCAATTACCCAGCACCATTTGTTGAAACCACTATCCCTTCTCTGCTCTCAGTTTTGTTGAAAAGAAAACGTTCGTGAAATTATTTTGGATAGGTAGTACATTCACATTATTCTTAAAGTACAAAAAGATTAAGTGAAAAACATTCCAGCTGCCTAGTTTCCTTCCTCAAAAATAATGTTGCCAGTTTATTATGGGTCATTTTAGAGACAGTCTATGCTTATACATGTGAATACATGTGTGTATGTATATATATATATATATATATATATATTCTTTATCTCCCCATCCCTTTTACATCCAAATAGTAAAATATTACATATACTCTTCTGAACTTTTATTGTTTAAACCTAATAACATACATATCTTGAAGCAATATTACAAACTATCCTTCATCCAGATAAGAGGTAGCCAACAGGGACCTCAAAAGGAGTACTTAAAGCCCAGTAAACTTTGTAAACAGACCCTTGAGCCACTTGTGCAGGCCCACTCCCACCCTGCCGAGTGCTTTCTCCCTTTTATTAATAAATCTCTGCTTTGGCTGCTTCCCTCCTGTTTCATTCTTTGTTACTTTGTGCGTTTTGTTCAATTCTTTGTTCAAAACACCAAGGACTGGACAACTCACACTCACAGCTCTCCTTCCAGGAACAGTAGCCCACTCTAGAAGATAAGCTACAGTATTTTCTATTTCTAAATATCAGGTAAAGATGAATGCTCTAACAAGTTTTATCAAGAAAATATTTTCCAAAGTTAAATTTCTTAGGGTCTCCTGAATTAAGCTATTTCTACTTGAAAATGAGACTTTATCCAAGCATTTTAGGTCAAATGTTAAGATTAGGTAGAAAGTTTCCATTTAAAGAAAAAAAAATCAAAATTATATAAAAAGAACTCCGTAGTTACTGTTACGCCAAATTTTCTATATCTAAAACTAATTATATGATGGCTAGGACAGTGGATTCAATCTATATTAGTTTTTTTCTGTTTGTTAAAAACCTTATTTCCTCGTTACTCATTTCTTCAAGCATTATCTTTCTGGACTGTTAATACTTCATTCTTGTACAAATTTAAATTTTTCTTAAGATTTAATTTGTGGTCTTCACTTACCGAGTCCCGTTTGAAAAAATGTGGTGATTCATCATTTACTAAAGGTCTTGAGGCAAGAATCTCTATTTTGCCTTCCAGTCTTCCCTCCATGGTTTTAATAGCATTCAAAAGAGTCTTTAGAGAGATCTTAGAGTCTCCAATATCCTGAGATGTTTTCATAGAAGGCAGGTTAGGTGCAAAGCTCACATGGCGTGTAGAGTTTGGAACAATACTAGGCAAACCAACTGATGACGTTCTATCCTTTATACTGTTTACATGGGACCTAGAGATTTCATGGGATTTTGAAGATGCAGGCCTCTCTGGAGATTTCCTTTTTCTTAGAGGCATCATCAATTATTAATAAAAACAATAAAATCAGCTAAAACCTAGAGTTACCTTTCAAGGAATAGCCACTTTACTAGGAGAACACCACGAATAGTGTTCTAGAAGGAGCCATAATAAAAAATATATTTGAAAATGTGTTTCTTTGCTTTCAGAATGAAGAGATCACACTTTATTACCCAGCGAAGAAACAGACCTTACACCAACTTCCCTGTCAAAGAGCCTGTCAGAGCGTGTATCTAACGAGGCCCCCCTCTAACAACTCTGTGACCTCAATGCTCATCAGCAGAGTCAAGGAGCTAGAATCCTATGAGTATTCCATTTGAAAACATATTTTAGTTCCTTGGTTACCAGGGAAGATACACAAATATCATAGACACAGAAGTTACATATGCTTTTATTAAGAGTTAACGATTTTAAAAATAACCTAATGATATGCATACTAAATGTGTAAATAATTGAAATTAATCATTTTCTTCTGGTAACACCTTCCTGGGGTATGTTCTTCACTAAATGTTTTCAATATCTTGCTTAACTTTTTCTATTCATCTGTTAAAATATTATGTGACCAGTGAAAGGTTTTTAGCCTCAAGAGCCACCATGCTGACAAGCACGCACCTTCACTACCAATACCTCTTTCAGGTGAGCATCTGCCTGTTGCAGGTGTACCTTCTTGGCACTGAGTTCTGAGTTTGCCTTTAATTCAAAAAAACAAAGACACTTATTCCTCACAACTGCCAAAATTTGTAAGGCTCAAGTTCAAAAAGCATTTATGAAAGCATTTCTCACTACTTCTACTCATATTAATGCTCCCAATCAATGTTCAGTAATACCATCTATTTTTCTGAAAAGCATAATTTACTATTCTCTAATAAAGTCTATGGAGTACATTTCCTAACTATAATAAGCAAGTTGAATGTCTCGATGCTGTGTCAGGTATCTTTACAAATTTCTGAGGCTTAGCAAAACCTTACATGTACTAGGTGCTTTTAAAAAAGTTTGTTAAATTGAGTCAAGTGACAGGGTATTTATCTTTCTAGGATTGCATGATAAAGTGGGGAGAAAGATGTAAATTTATTAAAAACTAAACATAGATGAGAATGATGGTTTCCAGCTTCATCCATGTCCCTGCAAAGGACATGAACTCATCCTTTTTATGGCTGCATAGTAGTCCATGGTGTATATGTGCCACATTTTCTTTATCCAGTCTGTGACTGATGGGCATTTGGGTTGGTTCCAAGTCTTTGCTATTGTGAAGAGTGCTGCAATAAACATCCATGTGCATGTGTAATAGAACAGAAAACCAAACACCGCATGTTCTCACTCATACGTAGGTATTGAACAATGAGAACACATGGACACAGGGAGGGGAATGTCACACACCAGGGCCTGTTGGGGTGTGGAGAGCTAGGGAAGGGATAGCAAGGAGTGGGAGGATTGGGGAGGGATAGCATTAAGAGAAATATCTAACATAGATGGCAGGGTGATGGATGCAGCGAACCACCATGGCAGGTCTATACCTATGTAACAAACCTGCACATTCTGCACATATACCCCAGAACTGAAATTACAATAAATTAAAAAAAATTCAGTGAACTACATACATATATATATTTGCCAACACTTAATAAAATTTTAAAATAGAAGTAAAAATAAATAAAGAGCACTTTTCTTTGCACAAAGGAAAGATACTTGGAAAAATGATAGTGTTTCTTGATCACTTCAGCCAGAGAACAAAAGCAAAAACAGGAGTCGACTCAAGATGGCGCTGTGAGAACAACCCAGGATTGAAGCTCTCGGTGAATCCGTGGAGAGGTGAGTCGGAGGTGCATTTTCAGACTGATCTTTGTTGCCCACAGAACGGGGAAATTCCCAAGTATAAAGGAGACGCGGGACGCCAGGCAGAGGTTTTGCATGGTGAAGCCAGCAGCCGGGGTGGCGGTGGCCAGCCCTACACAGCGCTCCCCACAGGGCGCGCTTGTCCGGGTGCCCTGTTGAACCGGCAACCTGAGACTTGAGAGGGCTGAACTTGAGACTGAACGAGACTTGGACAGTGGGCCAGCCCAGGGGATTGCAGGGACACAGCGTTTGGGATAGCTCAGTGGGACGGACAAAACGGCGATTCCAAACGCTCCCCATGGAGAAGGTCCCTGAGATGCTCCATGGGGGAGGGGCGTCCACCATTACCGAGGCAACCCGCCCCTACTGAGATACACGCCCACTGCTGACGCAGCCTGCCGTTGCCGAGGCAACCCGCTACAACAGAGACACTCCGCCGCAGGGCGTAGTCCGTGGCGGAGACCTCAGCAGAAGAGCAGAGTCTGCAGCAACAGGGTGAACCTCACAACAACAGGGCGGAGCCTCGGCAGGCAAATAGTGACCAGACTGCCTCCAAGCTGGGCAGGACACCTCAACGGATATCCAAAATTAAAGTCCCAACACCCCAAGACAGAGCATTTGAGAAAAAAAGGTTTTTTTAAATGAGCTCTGTTGCAGCAGAATCAAACATAGCAGTCTAACAACCCTGAATGAACAACAGAGCTCACAGCTCAGCAATTGAGCTCCTATAAAGTACAGACTGTCTCCTCAAGCAGCTCCCTGACCCCTCTATATCCAAAAGACTGACATTTGGCAGGCATCATCCTGGGACAAAGATAGCAGAAAAAGAAACTGGTAGCATCCTTCACTGTTCCACAGCTGCTATAGGTGCACCCTAGACAAGCAGGGCCTGGAATGGACCTCAGCAGTCGTACAGCGAAGGGGCTAGACTGGTAGAAGGAAAACCAAGTAACAGAAATACTTCATCACCAACAATCTGGGTGTCCATTCAGAGACCCAATCGAAAAGTCAGCAACTAGGCAGATGACAGGTGGATAAATCCACAAAGATGGGAAGAAACCAGTGCAAAAAGGAGGAAAACAGCCGAAACCAGAACACCTCGCCTCCTAGGAAGGACCAAAACTCCTCACCAGCAAGGCAACAAAGCTGGATGGAGAATGACTGTGATGAAATGACGGAATTAGACTTCAGTAGGTGGATAATGAGAAACTTCTGTGAGCTAAAAGAACATGTATTAAATCAATGCAAAGAAACTAAGAACCTTGAAAAAGGATTTGAAAAAAGATTTGAGGAAATGATAACAAGAATGGATAACTTAGAGAGGAATATGAATGAATGAAAGGAGCTGAAAAACACAATACGAGAACTTCGTGAAGCATGCACAAGTTTCAATAGCCGAATTGACCAAGCAGAAGAAAGAATATCTGAAGCCGAAGATCAACTCAATGAAATAAAACAAGAAACCGGCTAGGCGCGGTGGCTCACGCCTGTAATCCCAGCACTTTGGGAGGCCTAGACGGGTGGATCATGAGGTCAACAGATCGAGACCATCCTGGTCAACATGGTGAAACCCCGTCTCTACTAAAACTACAAAAAATTAGCTGGGCATGGTGGTGCATGCCTGTAATCCCAGCTACTCAGGAGGCTGAGGCAGGAGAATTGCCTGAACCAGGGGGCGGATGATGCGGTGAGCCGAGATCGCGCCATTGCACTCCAGCCTGGGTAACAAGAGCGAAACTCCGTCTCAAAAAAAAAAAAAACAAAAAAACAAGAAACCAAGATCAGAGAAAAAAGCGCAAACAGGAATGAACAAAGTCTCCAAGAAATGTGGGACTATGTGAAAAGACCTAACCTACGTTTGATAGGTGTACCAGAAGGGGATGAAGAGAATGAATCCAAGCTGGAAAATACTCTTCAGGACATCATCCAGGAAAATTTCCCCCACCTAGCAAGACAGGCCAACACTCAAATGCAGGAAATACAGAGAACACCACAAAGATATTCCGCAAGAAGAGCAACCCCAAGGCACATAATCGTCAGATTCAACAAGGTTGAAATAAAAAAGAAAATACTAAGGGCAGCCAGAGAGAAAGCTCGGGTCACCCACAAAGGGAAGCCCATCAGACTCACAGCAGATCTCTCGGCAGAAACACTACAAGCCAGAAGAGAGTGGGGGCCAATATTCAACATTCTTAAAGAAAAGAACTTTCAACCCAGAATTTCATATCCAGCCAAACTGAGCTTCAGAAGTGAAGGAAAAATAAAATCCTTTGCGAACAAGCAAGTACTCAGAGATTTTGTCACCACCAGGCCTGCTCTACAAGAGCTCCTGAAAGAGGCACTACACATAGGAAGGAACAACCAGTACCAGCCATTCCAAAATCCCACTAAATGCTAAAGAGCATCAACATAATGAAGAGTCTACAACTAACGGGCAAAACGGCCACTTAGCATCAAAATGGCAGTATCAAATTCACACATAACAATATTAACCCTAAATGTAAATGGACTAAATGCACCAATCAAAAGACACAGACTGGCAAATTGGATAAAAATCCAAAACCCATCAGTGTGCTGTATCCAGGAAACCCATCTCACATGCAAGGATACACAAAGGCTCAAAATAAAGGGATGGAGGAAGATTTACCAAGCAAATGGAGAGCAAAAAGAAGCAGGAGTTGCAATTCTCATCTCTGATAAAATAGACTTTAAAGCAACAAAGATCAAAAGAGACAAAGAAGGCCATTACATAATGGTAAAAGGATCAATACAACAAGAAGAGCTAACGATCCTAAACATATATGGACCCAATGCTGGAACACCCAGATACATAAGGCAAGTTCTCAATGACCTACAAAGAGACTTAGACTCCCACACAATAATAGTGAGAGACTTTAACACCCCACTGTCAATATTAGACTGATCAACCAGACAGAAAATCAACAAGGATATCCAGGGCTTGAACTCAGACCTGGAGCAAGCAAACCTGATAGACATTTACAGAACTCTCCACCCCAAATCCACAGAATATACATTCTTCTCAGTACCACATCACACCTACTCTAAAACTGACCACATAATTGGAAGTAAAGCACTGCTCAGCAAATGCAAGATGACTGAAATCATAACAAACAGCCTCTCAGACCATAGTGCAATCAAGTTAGAACTCAGAATTCAGAAACCAACCCAGAACTGCACAGCTTCATGGAAACTGAACAACTGGCTCTTGAATGTTGACTGGGTAAACAATGAAATGAAGGCAGAAATAAAGAAGTTCTTCGAAACCAATGAGAATGAAGACACAACATGCCAGAATCTCTGGGACACATTTAAAGCAGTCTCTAGAGGAAAGTATATAGCAATAAGTGCCCATATGAGGAGAATGGAGAGATCCAAAATTGACACCCTATCATCAAAATTGAAAGAGCTAGAGGAGCAAGATCAAAAAAACTCAAAACCCAGCAGAAGACAAGAAATAACTAAGATCAGAGCAGAACTGAAGGAGATTGAGACACGAAAAACCCTTCAAAAAATCAATAAATCCAAGAGCCGGTTTTTGGAAAAGATCCGCAAAATAGACAGACCACTAGCCAGATTGATTAAAAAGAAAAGAGAGAACAACCAAATAGATGCAATAAAAAATGATAAAGGGGAAATCACCACAGATTCCACAGAAATTCAAACCATCATCAGAGAATATTACAAACAACTCTATGCACATAAACTAGTAAACCTGGAAGAAATGGATAAATTCCTGGACTCCTGTGTCCTCCCAAGCCTAAACCAGGAGGAAGCTGAAACTATGAATAGACCAATAAGAAGGTCAGAGGTCGAGGCAACAATTAAGAGCCTACCACACAAAAAAAGCCCAGGTCCAGACGGGTTCACAGCCGAATTCTACCAGACACACAAAGAGGAGCTGGTACCATTCCTTCTAAAACTATTCCAAATAATCCAAAAAGAGGGAATCCTTCCCAAATCATTTTATGAGACCAACATCATCCTGATACCAAAACCCGGCAGAGACCCAACAAGAAAAGAAAACTTCAGGCCAATATCCATGATGAACATAGATGCAAAAATCTTCAATAAAATATTGGCAAGCCAATTGCAACAGCAAATCCAAAAACTTATTCATCATGATCAAGTAGGATTCATCCCGGGGATGCAAGGCTGGTTCAACATACGCAAGTCTATCAACGTAATTCACCACATAAACAGAACCAAAAACAAAAACCACATGATTATCTCAATTGACGCAGAGAAGGCATTTGACAAAATTCAACAGCCCTTTATGCTAAAAACCCTCAATAAACTCGGTATCGATGGAACGTATCGCAAAGTAATAAAAGCTATTTATGACAAACCAACAGCCAATATCATACTGAATGGGCAAAAACTGGAAGCATTCCCTTTGAAATCCGGCACTAGACAAGGATGCCCTCTTTCACCACTCCTATTCAATATAGGGCTGGAAGTTCTAGCCAGAGCAATCAGGCAAGAAAAAGAAATAAAGGGTATTCAAATAGGAAAGGTGGAAGACAAATTGTCTCTATTTGCAGATGACATGATAGTATACCTAGAAGACCCCATCGCCTCAGCCCAAAAACTCCTGAAACTGATAAGCAACTTCAGCAAAGTCTCAGGATATAAACTCAATGTGCAAAAATCACAAGCATTGATCTACACCAATAACAGACTTAAAGAAAGCCAAATCAAGAACGAACTGCCATTCACAATTGCTACAAAAAGAATAAAATACCTTGGAATACAACTCACAAGGAACGTAAGGGACCTCTTCAAGGAGAACTACAAACCACTGCTCAATGAAATCAGAGAGGACACAAACAGATGGAGAAACATTCCATGTTCATGGTTAGGAAGAATTAATATCGTGAAAATGGCTATACTGCCCAAAGTAATTTACAGAATCAATGCTATCCCCATCAAGCTACCATTGACTTTCTTCACAGAACTGGAAAAAACCACCATGAACTTCATATGGAACCAAAAGAGAGCCCGCATAGCCAAGTCAATTCTAAGCAAAAAGAACACAGCGGGGGGCATCACACTACCGGATTTCAAACTATACTACAAGGCTACAGTAATCAAAACAGCATGGTACTGGTACCAAAACAGAGATATAGACCAATGGAACAGAACAGAGGCACCGGAGGCAACACAACATATCTACAACTATACAATCTTTGATAAACCTGACAAAAACAAGCAATGGGGAAAGGATTCCATGTTTAACAAATGGTGTTGGGAAAACTGGCTAGCCATGTGCAGAAAGCAGAAACTGGACCCCTTCCTGACACCTTACACTAAAATTAACTCCAGATGGATTAAAGACTTAAACATAAGACCTGGCACCATAAAAACCCTAGAAGGAAATCTAGGCAAAACTATCCAGGACATAGGAGTAGGCAAGGACTTCATGAACAAAACACCAAAAGCATTGGCAACAAAAGCCAAAATAGAGAAATGGGACCTAATGAAACTCCACAGCGTCTGCATGGCAAAAGAAACAGTCATTAGAGTGAATCGGCAACCAACAGAATGGGAAAAAATTTTTGCAGTTTACCCATCTGACAAAGGGCTGATATCCAGAATTTACAAAGAACTCAAAGGGATTTACAGGAAAAAAACAAACAAGCCCATTCAAAAGTGGGCAAAGGATATGAACAGACACTTTACGAAAGAAGACATATATGAGGCCAACAATCATATGAAAAAATGCTCATTGTCACTGGTCATCAGAGAGATGCAAATCAAAACCACATTGAGATACCATCTCACGCCAGTTAGAATGGCGATCATTAAAAAATCTGGAGACAACAGATGCTGGAGAGGATGTGGAGAGAAAGGAACACTTTTACACTGTTGGTGGGAGTGTAAATTAGTTCAACCATTGTGGAAGACAGTGTGGCGATTCCTCAAGGCCTTAGAAATAGAAATTCCATTTGACCCAGCAATCCCATTACTGGGTATATATCCAAAGGACTATAAATCGTTCTACTGTAAGGACACATGTACACGAATGTTCATTGCAGCACTGTTTACAATAGCAAAGACCTGGAATCAACCCAAATGCTCATTGATAATAGACTGGATTGGAAAAATGTGGCACATATACACCATGGAATATTATGCAGCAATCAGAAATGATGAGTTTGTGTCGTTTGTAGGGACATGGATGAATCTGGAGAACATCATCCTCAGCAAACTGACACAAGAACAGAAAATGTAACACCGCGTATTCTCACTCATAGGCGGGTGATGAAAAATGAGAAGTCATGGACACAGGGAGGGGAGTACTAAACACTGGGGTCTATTGGGGGGAAAAGGGGAGGGCCAGTGGTAGGGGGAGGTGGGGAGGGATAGCCTGGGGAGAAATGCCAAATGTGGGTGAAGGGGAGAAAGGAAGCAAAACACACTGCCATGTGTGTACCTATGCAACTGTCTTGTATGTTCTGCTCATGTACCCCAAAACCTAAAATGTAATAAAAAAATAAAAAATAAGAAAAAAAAAGCAAAAACAGAAACAAAAAAATAGACAAAAAAGCCCTAAATATAGCAGCAATCCACTTTTGTAAATATTAATCACACCTGAACATGTTTGGCCTCTAGCGCCTTATTCAACTTTCGTAGTTGGTCATTCTGTAAGCTGGTGTCAGTAAAAGACTGTACTTGTTCTTCTAGCTGTTTAACTTTTATCTAGAGGAAAAAAATAGAGAAAAATAATTTAAAAATAAAGACATTAAAAAGTATATATTTACACATATTTATATACTCCAGGAGGGGGAAAGAAGGTCATGAGTTGTTAAAAAAAAAATACACACACACACACAGAATCCTTAAACTTGCAAAAAACAATCCTAAGTTTAATCATGCAAAAAATGATTTAGACACTGTCGCCATTTAATTGTACTGAGATAATTCATTTGATTTCTAGTACTTACAGACCTCCAAATGGACATGACACATGAATATAACTGAGATTTTGTGGCTAACATAATTCAAAAATTTGTGGCTAATATATTTGAATCGTGGTACCTGCCATTCAAAATCCTTTTGAGTATGTGTAATTAGAACTGTCAATGCAAGAAGCAGACATATCAGACTGGAAGATGGAGTAGGGGGCAGGGGGAACAGGCATAGAGTCTTGTATTTCAATGACACAGAATTACAAAAGTTGAATAAATGGAATTCTTATATGTTGAATTATATTTTAAAACTAATTCACAAAGATGACTACTTACATGTTTCTCTTTAAAGAAAATTATCGTTTTGAAGGACAAAATCATTTAATATATACTCATAAATGTCCAACTTATGTGTTTTTCCGTATTTGCTTCCTTTTATCCCAGTCCCCTCACATACAACAATTAACATTACTGAACCTACCCCTAAATCAGGAAAATTTTCATTCAAATTTTTAAAATTTAATTCCATCTCTCAATATCTTGTTTTCTATCTGTAGAGGCAAAACATCTATTTCACTGTAGCTACTGGACATCTTCGGCAACTGTTAAAATTTGAATGGGTGTTAGAAGTAAGGATGGTTAATGAGCCCTGTGGGTAACAGTTACTGGAAGTTGGTGCTGGGTGTTGGGGATGTTCTGCTTTTTGATCTCAGTGCTGATCACATAGCAACACTTTATAAAAAATTCATGAGGCTGTGCCCTGTGTACTTTTCAGATATATGTTATAGTTCAACAAGAAATTAACTGAAAAAACAAAGTATACCAAGCACTTACCTAACTTCTAAATTAAGGTCACAAATGCAATTGCTTACTGGGACCAGGCAGCTAACACAATGTTGAAATCCTATTGGTGCCAATAGGTAGATTAGAGTGAGGCCAAGTAACTCAAATTGACATGTTTAAAAACAACTTAAAAAGTGTTGGAAATCTTTCAGACATATATACCATCTATCCCATCTATCCACCACTGAACTTAATAAAACATTACCAGTACAATTGAAAGCGTCTGTGTAGCCTACCCCAACCAAATCTCCTCTTTCTATCCTAGAGTTAACTATTACGCTGAATTTATCATCCCTACACTTTAAAGTAACTTTATATCCTTAAACAGTATATAGTATTGTTTTATGAGATTCATCCATGTTAACACATGTAACTCTAATGTATCTATTTAATATACCCTCTTAAATATACTGATTTTAAAACTAGTGCAACTACTTTTAGGGGAAATAGGACAAAATTTAGTGAAGTTCAGGATATGCACATCCTAAAACCCAGTAATTCTACTCCTCAGAATTATATTTAACTGAGAGCATCTTTTGTATGTGAGTATAAGGAGACAGGTACAAAATTTATCATATCATTATTGTCATTGTTTGCAATCAGAAACTAGCTGATTATCCATCAACAGAAGAATAAATACATTGTGGCATATTTACATAATCGAATACTGTGCAGCACTGAAAAGGAAATTCAAACCATGTTTGAACATGAGGCAGCAGTTTCCAATACAGTCTAAGTTAACACACGAAATCCAGTATTTACATCATTCATTAACAAGTTGATTCTGAAAATGCAGTCTTTTACCAAATATGATTCCTATGTATATTTTTAATCCATTCTAATCCAGTTGAGAGAGGTCACACAGCAGACTACTGTTCTGACAATGTTTAGTATATAGCTCTTCCTTTAAACTGTCTCGTAAGAGTTATGTGCTCCAAGAGCACTTTTCCTAGAGCTGATGAAGTCAGTGCTTTTGGAATGTGGCAGCCCAAGACCTGACATAAAAGCACCAATGAATCAATAGTTCACAATAGTTCAAAAAGTATTTCTTCAAAGACTATCAAAAATCTTAAACTCTTATTATAGGAATATGAACAGCAAAAAGGCACATATTTTTCCTTATGATTACATACAATCTAGATAATTTCTAAGATTGCATAGTTGAGGTTTAAAAGGTCAGACAGATAACATCAGACCCATTCATAAATTATAAAATATATTCCATTCCCAGTCAAAATTTGGCTTTAAGTCTGTCGTGAGGGCCTGGGATTTGTCTTATATATTTAATAATACACTTCATTTTTCTTGGGAAAGCTAAAAAAGGTTAAAGTCATGGGTCACCGCCTCTTATGAGATCATTCATTTTACAAAGGAGAAAGTTATTTTATGCCTGTAAAAATGTATACACCCAGCCAGTAATGTAGCCTATTTTTCCCAATAAGAAATAGGTAAAAGAGGTGTGCTTATCCTCATTTTACAGATGATTAAGATGAAACTCAAGAAAATTAAGACCTTTCCATGGTCACACAAGTATAGATAATAAATGCATGGATACCTCTGGAAAATATTAATATTAATAGATGAAGCTATTTGTCCACTATTTTTATTTTTGACAACTATTTTATGGATGAATAATATTTTTGTAAACTCAAGCAGAAACCCTGTCTCCATGGATAAACCAGTCTATTCAACTGCCTGTTTCCAGGGTTATTTCTTTTTAGAAATGTGCTATAAAAATTCAGCAAAAAGAGCTATAGGCTTTCTACATTCTCAGTGAATGACCATGCACAAAATGAGTATAATAAAGCTTCAAACAATTACGGAATATGTTTTGGCTTCATAATTTTAGGTTTCAGCAACTACAGCTTGTAAATAGAAGTCTCCTGGAGATTAATGAGGCCAAGAACTTAGGGATGTTCAGACACTATAGACTTAGTAAATGACAGAGCTAAGTATTCTCGAAATCTAGCAATATTTGAAAATTGGTATTTTTTTAAATTATACTTTAAGTTTTGGGGTATATATGCAGATTGTGCAGGTCTGTTACTTACTATGGCATAGGTATGAAAATGCTATGGTGGTTTGGTGCACCCATCAACCCATCATCTACATTAGGTATTTCTCCTAATGCCATCCCCCCGCAGCCCCCCACCCCCAGCAGGCACTGGTGTGTGCTGTTCCCCTCCCTGTGTACATGTGTTCTCATTGTTCAACTCCCACTATGAGTGAGAACATGTGGTGTTCGGTTTTCTGTTCCTGCGTTACTTTGCTGAGAATGATGGTTTCCAGCTTCATCCATGTTCCTGTAAAGGACATAAACTCATCCTTTTTATGGCTGCATAGTATTCCATGGTGTTTATGTGCCACATTTTCTTCATCCAGTCTATCACTGATGGGCATTTGGGTTGGTTCCAAGTCTTTGCTATTGTGAATAGTGCTGCAATAAACATATGGGTGTATGTGCCTTTATAGCAGAATGATTTACACTCCTTTGGGAATATACCCAGTAATGGGATTGCTGGGTCAAATGGTATTTCTGGTTCTAGATCCTTGAGGAATCGCCACACTGTCTTCCACAATGGTTGAACTAATTTACCCTCCAACCAATGGTGTAAAAGGGTTCCTATTTCTTCACATCCTCCCCAGCATCTGTTGTTTCCTGGCTTTTTTTTAAAGGTAATTTAACAGAAATGTTTAGTTTAATGGCAAAATTAAAAAAACAACCAACCAATCAACTTTCGCTTCTACCTATGGAAAAAACAGTAAAAGTGAATCAAGAACTTCTAGCTTTTTTTCATAAAACAGTTTAAAAAGAAGAAGGGGAAGACTGGGGAGCTGGTGCAACTGTTGCTAATGGAATGCTATAATGCACAAGGTCAAGGATTTATAAATTCTACAAGTCTCTACAAGTATCAGTGATAACTGTATTATTAGAAATATAAATGCGGCTGGGTGCGGTGACTCACACCTATAATCCCAGCACTTTGGGAGTCTGAGGCAGGAGAATTGCTTGAACCCAGAAGGCGGAGGTTGCAGTGAGCCGAGATCATGCCATTGCATTCCAGTCTGGGTAACAACAGCGAAACTCCATCTCAAAAAAAAAAAAAAAAAAAAGAAAAGAAAAGAAATATAAATGCATAGAAATATATAGTATTAAAAACAGACCTTGCTAATATAAACACATATAAAATATGTCACTTCTCTTGTAATAACAGTATAAAGACAGATCTACAGTTTGCCCTTTGCCTGGTACTCTTAAACCACTCCCCCAATGGTCAATACTGACCTTGAATCAACAGCCGCTGAACCCAGGAGACCCCACAGATGTCTAGATTCAGCACCTAGAGGACCCCACCTACCCTCTATGCTGTGTGTTCTCCTATGACTCCAGAAATAATTGCAACTTGCATTACTAAGTCCACAGGCAAGTTTGAAATCTAACTAGAAAAAGTAGCTGCAAAGGCAAAATAAGCTGGAATTTGTGGGAAAAGCAATGAGAAGATTTCTTAAAATGCTTCCAGTTCAAGTCAGAATTAAGGCAAACATTAGGTTCCACCAGCTTTGCAGAGCTGTAGATGTTTTGCTGTTGTTCTTTCAAAAAAGAAGAATCTATAATAACCATGTTCATTTGAAAAAAATACTGTGTTTGTCAACTTTTTGTAGCCATCCACAAGTTACTTTAAACTTTGTATGTTGTTCAAGAACAGAGTATACTCTGGTTAGGATGTGTTCATAGCTGATGCATCTCTGAAAAATTTTTCATGAAGGCGGCCAGCTTCTGAACATATTCAGTCATGACAGCATTACACAGAGAGGCCCAGGTATCTCCCACAGACCTATGTCCTTTCAAGGACAACATATTGAGTTCAAGAGCTTTATCGAGAAATCCTTTTTCTTAAGCATCATCTCCTTTGGCATTGCCAATGTAGAATGGAATATTCATCTTGCTTCTATTTTGGACATACGTAGAATCCGTGAGAATTATCAATAATCTCAGATATCACTTAGGATTTGATGACGCTTCTCCATGGCCATGGCACCTCCATTGTGTTTTTGTTTTTTTTTTGAGACAGAGTTTTGCTCTTGTTACCCAGGCTGGAGTGCAATGGCACGATCTTGGCTCACTGTAACCTCCGCCTCCTGGGTTCAGGCAATTCTCCAGTCTCAGTCTCCTGAGTAGCTGGGATTACAGGTGCGCGCCACCATGCCCAGCTAATTTTTTTGTATTTTTAGTAGAGACGGGGTTTCACCATGTTGACCAGGATGGTCTCAATCTCTTGACCTTGTGATCCATCCGCCTCAGCCTCCCAAAGTGCTGGGATTACAGGCTTGAGCCACCGCGCCCAGGGGCGGCCGGTTAGCTCAGTTGGTGAGCTTCTGGTGCTCACCTCGATTGTTTTTCATCCACTCCAGGACCAAGCCCATGATGTAAAATGCTGAAATATGGAGGTGTGTTGTACAAGGAGCTGTTTTTAGCCTGCACTTTGTATTCCAGGACCAAGGGGCACTCTCGGAGGGCAAACCCCAGCAGGTCATCATGGACAATCACCACGGTGACCCCAGCAGAGCCAACATTCTTCTGTGTACCACAAAAAAATCACACCAAACTTGGAAACATCCACTGGCTTAGACAGTAAGTTTGAGGACATGTCACAAACCAGTACTGCTCCCTTGACATCAGGTATAAAGTCAAACTCCACACCACGCACTGTCTCATTTGCACAATATTACAAGTAGAAGGCATCCAGGGTGAGGTTCTAGGTGCCTGGATCTGTAATTTTTGTTTAGGGTGACGATATTTATAGTCCCAAACTTCTTGGCTTCTTCTGTGGCCTTAGCTGACCAAGCTCCTGTCACCACACAGACTGCATACTTTCCTGCTTTCAAGCCAATCAGGTTTAAGGGGACAGCACTGAACTGGCTGGACCAACCTCCTTGCACAAAAATCACCTTATAGTTGTCTGGAATGGCTAAAAATTCCTGCAAAAGATTCTCTGTACTGTTAATAATCCTGGCAAAATCTGACGATCTGTGACTCATTTCAAGAATACTAATGTCAACTCCTTTGTAGTCTAATAATTCCTTTTGTGTATCTCTAACAAGTAGTCTAATAATTCCTTTTGTATCTCTAACAACACCAAGTACGGCAGTTTGGTGGGACCAAGTCTGAAGTTGACCACCTGTCTCAGGGTATCCATGGTGCAGCAGTGAGGGCAGCAAGTCAGCCAAGGAAGACTGAACCCATGCCATGAACCGTTTCCTGACTTTTTAATGATCACCATTCTAACTGACATGAGATGGTATCTCATTGTGGTTTTGATTTGCATTTCTCTAATGACCAGTGATGATGCATTTTATTTCATATGTTTGTTGGCCGTATAAATGTCATCTTGAGAAACGTCTGTTCATACCCTTCACCAACTTTTTGATGGGGTTGTTTTTTTCTTGTAAATGTGTTTAAGTTTCATGTAGATTCTGGATATTAGCCCTTTGTCAGATGGATAGACTGAAGAAATTTTCTCCTATTCTGTAGGTTGCCTGTTCACTCTGATGATATTTTATTTTGCTGTACAGAAGCTCCTTAGTTTAACTAGATCCCATTTGTCAATTTTGGCTTTTGTTGCCATTGCTTTAGGTATTTTAGTCATAAAGCCGTTGCCCATGCCTATGTCCTGAATGATACTGCCTAGGTTTTCTTCTAGGGTTGTTATGGTTTCAGGTCTTACATTTAAGTCTTTAATCCATCTTGAGTTAATTTTTGTATAAGGTATATGAAAGGGGTCCAGTTTCAGTTTTCTGTATATGGCTTGCCAGTTTTCCCAACACCATTTATTAAATAGGGAATCCTTTCCTCATTGCTTGTTTTTGACAATTGGTATTCTTAAAATTCAGACAAGAAAAATCAGAAAATAAATCCCATACCTGGAGCTTTCCCTTTTCATAGGCCAGTTTATTTTTACTATCAGTAATTTTTCCCAAGACATTTTCCACCTTCTGTTGGACAAGCTGATAAGGCAAACACAGGCAATAGAATCTCTAAGCAGAGAAAGGAATAACCATTTTCATTTTTAGACAAGTATTTATATCCTTACTATTTCTATCATCATAAGATCAAGATTCCTATTTATTTGCTAGTGCTGCCTTTTAGTCTTTCCCAACATAGTTGATCACATGGCTAATATGCAATATGTACAGACTGCTAATAAAAGCATGAAGCCTTAAGAGTACCAGAGTTTGTTGCTTTGTATATTAACTCTTTTTTTGTTATGTCAGTTATTCCTTTGTAATTGTGATCCAACCCAGATGTGGTATGGTTGTATGAGTGACTGCAGGTAGTCTGTGGAGCATTACATAGTTCTTGATGAAAAAGCAGCTGCAAATGACCACAACCACTGACAGCAGAAGGCACCTCACTTACCATGGTAAAAAGCTGTTCAGAAAAATCTCAAAAACAAAATAAATGTTTATTGGAGACTCGAACTCATTGTTTGATCAAATACTCAACACAGCATTATCTGGGGCAAACATTCCCAAAGGTTCTATATTTCACAAAATTACATATTTTCATTATTCAAATAGCCCTTAATAACAACAATTATTTTCTCATGTGCTGTTGTTCTCAGACTATATCGAAAAAAATAAGTACAAAATATAGTTTTCTTTTGATTAAACTTTGGGCCATATTGGTACTTTCTTTATATGAGGGGCATCATTAACTGACTGAATATGGAGATTTTTCACTCTCCACAATCAATGCCAGTATTATATCTTAATAACAGGAAAAATAGCCATATGTCAAAATTATCATAAACCAAATGTGGAGATAAAGGACACACAAGAAAATGTGACTATGGAAACAAACTCTTAATCATTCATAAGCTAACTAGCTACACTATGGATCAATTGCAGTAAATATTAAGTTCAAAGTCTTATTAATGTTGGCAAGTATCTCCTATTGACATTATTCACTATTTCTGGTTTATATTTGCTTATTTGGTGAATAACAGAACAGAATGTCTTTTAGGCATTTTAAGCCAAAGAATTTTAGACTTCTGTTTTATGTTCAACTTTATGTAAGCTGATAAAGATAAAACCCATGTATTAATTTACATAGGAGATATTCCTCATTTCCAACATTACAGCTATTCTTTAGTCACCACTTTGAAATATCCTTTATTTCAAGTATATGAACCCAACACACCTGCTTCTAAATAAAAGAAAAAAAAATTCCAAAGTAGATTACTATAATATGTAATTCAGATTTTCCTCTGTTCAAAATATTTTCTATGAGAAGGTACACTAAGCTGGGCATGGTGGCTCACACCTCTAATCCCAGCACTTTAGGTGGCTGAGGTCGGAGGATCACTTGAGGGCAGGAATTGAAGACCAGTATGGTCAACATAGCAAGACCCTGTCTCTACAAAAATTTAAAAAATTAGCTGGGCATAGTGGTGCACACTTTTAGTTCTAGTTACTTGAGAGGCTGAGGTGGGAGAATTGCTTGAACCCAGCAAGTCGAGGCTAGAGTGAGCCATTACACTCCATGATGTGATGGTGCCATTACACTTCAGCCTGGAAGACCAAGCAAGACCCCCATCTCTAAAGAAGAAAAAAGAAAAAAAAGAAGGCACAGTAGGCTGGCGCATTGTTTTCTCCTTAGCAGTTGCCTTGGCTAGAAGAATTTGCATTTTTGACATTCAACACTTGATAAAAATCTATGGAAAAGCCAAAAAGAATTATTAGCCCTTATATGCCACCTACCCTAAAATGATACACCTTTGATATAAAACTTATATCCAATATTAGGCTTTGGTGGATTATTAACTATTATGACCAAGTATTTGTCCTGTCAGAATTAATAGTTCATACATTATTATAAATATTCATAATTCAGTTTTTAAAAGTTTTAAAAAATCACTGTGGGCCAGGCACAGTAGCTCATGCCTGTAATCCCAGCACTTTGGGAGGCTGAGGCAGGTGGATCACAAGGTCAAGAGATCGAGACCATACTGGCAAACAGATCAGGACCATCCTGGCCAATATGGGGAAACTCCATCTCTACTAAAAATACAAAAATTAGCTAGGCGTGGTGGTGTGTGCCTGTAGTCCCAGCTACTTGGGAGACTGAGGCAGGAGAAAAGCCTGAACCCAAGAGACAAAGGTTGCAGCGAGCTGATTGCACCACTACACTCCCTGGCAACAAAGCAAGGGTCTGTTTCAAAAAAAAATAATAATAATAACTGTACTGCTCCTCCTAAGGCAAAGGAAAATATATTTTAAAAAGCATTTAGACAAGTAGAGTAGGATTATGTTGGCCAAGTCTTCAGCAGCGAAACAAATTGCAAGGATGGTCAATAATACCTCAAAAGCAAAGCTACACCAATAATAAAACCTTAATTATTTAGAATTTGATTCAAACTTCTAAAAATTAAGATGTTCCAGTGTGCTGTAAAGCATAGGTAGAACATATGAAAAACAAGAACCAGAGTTAACTTAAAATATGCGAGTTCTAATGAACAGTAAACACTAAAAAATAACTATCTTCTTGAAATGTGGAAAAGTTTTATTAAGGAATAACTTAAATTATCTTCTATAAAAGTTGACCAAAAATTTTAAAAATAATGGTACTTTTTCCCATCAATAGAATTCCCTCTTCTAGACAAAGGCATAAAGAAATTCTAATCTTTTAAATATACTTTTAAAGTAACAATTTTCCCATTTTTCCATCAAAGAGAATGCTAATATACTAAACAAAAATTGTCTGAGCAAAATCAGAATGAAATATTTGACAAAGGGTTACCTATTTAAATATTATGACATACACAAAAAAATTGTTCCCAGTTGCTAAGGGAAAGTGGATGTTAAGGCAGTTACTTAAATTACTGTTTACAGATTTAAATAGGCCCTGTACTTTAATCAACAGGAGACCAGAAATTAGAAACCATTTAAATGAGCGAATATCTCAGGTTCTGAGTTATGAAAGACTCAACTAATATTAACTTTTGCTTAAATACTTTTGGTAACATACTATAAACATTATTAATATACACAGCAAAACAGAAACTGGGGAATCACTTAAGAAACATCATACAGAGAAAAATGCCAAGCATTAGAATATCCATTTTAACTCAGAAACACACAGATAACACTCTTTGGAAAAACAGGAAGTAAAAATAGGGAGAATTATCTTAAGATATGAAAGATAGGTTGCCAAAGATTAAAAGTAAGCCACAAAATTATTTCTAAAATCATTTTGTAAACCCAGGTGAGCTGTACAAGTTAGCAGAAGCTGTTATAAGAATACACAAAACTAGTGGGATACTGGCATCTTGGTAACCCTATTTTATAGGCAAACTATAAACATTTTTAAAAGTTTTTAATTATTTTGAATTTTTTATTCAAAATATTTAACAACCAGTATGACATGAGCTCCAGCAAATGAAATCAACTTTGACACCTGCATGAGTGTACACTGACAATGTCATCCTGGTTTTAAGAAATAATACATTTCAGTTCATTATTTAATTTCAAGTCAATAAAGTCCCAGTTATACAGGAAATTATATTTCTGTCTGGTGCTACAATTTTAAAATATATGTTTAAACCCCAAAAGAGAAGTGGGGAGGATAATCATTCAAATTTAACTCAGGCATGGAAACCTTCCTACATGGGGATCTTTTCTCACTGTGGTTCTCTGCCTGACTGTCGGTAGCAATGGAATTAATTGTACTATCACTACAGGCTAAAATGGCAAAAAATAAACCTAAAATTAGGAAATGTAAAAGAAAAAGCAGAGAGAATATTATTGCAATATGACATTAATCCTTACTGCCTGGCAAAACAGACATGACCCTCTGTATTCTAGTCAGTCAATGTTTCTAAAGCACCTATTATGTATTAGGAATTCTGCTAGGCAAGGGAAGATAAAAATGAGTAACTATTGTTTTTGTATTAGAAGAGAGTGAACACAGATGCATAAACAGGTCCATTTCTAATCAATGTAGTAATTATTCTGACATATGGGTATGCAGAGTATACTGTGGGATACCTGCACTAGGAGAGATCCTCTTGGCATTGCAGGCCATGAGAGGTTAAGAGCCTTCCCAGGTCACACAGTAAATGGAGGTTGAAACAAGGTCTATCTGAATTCAGGTTTGTGACATTACGCACAAAACACACACATGTGTATCTCCAAAAATCAATGAGGGGTTATACCAGAAGGTACCCTTTATAAAGAATTTCAAGTTTTAACTGTCAAAGAACAAAAATAAACTGCCAGCATTGAATGACAACAGGTTTAATGATATTGCTAAGATTCAAAAACAAATCCTGAAATCTCTAGTTTATTCCTCAAACTCATAAAGAGCCAACTGAAGCATTTCCAGGCAGGCGTGGTCAGAGACGCTTCTGGGTGGAGACAGAACTGCAAGCTAGAATTGTGTTGTCTATGAGTTATCACTGGGAACCTGTTATCAAGACAGGTAGGCAGGCAAAAATCAACATTGACTAAATCACTGGCAAGATCTGTCAGAGTCACTAATAAAGTAAGGCTAGGCCTGCTCATTGGCAATGGATTCAGGAAATAGACTGGAATGTGGTTTTCCCAAGGAACGCAGCTTAGGCTGGCCAGCAAGCAAAAGACATGGCTGAATCTTTAATTCTGTAGAGAGAGAGGATTGTTCTAAAATAGTACCAGGGATTAGAGCTAATGAAGCCTGCCATTCCAATAGTCACTTATTTTTCTCTGAGATACTAAGAATTCAATAAACATTAGCTATCTGCTACATGTCCTGTGTGTATTAATTTACTTAACCTCAAACATCCTCATAGTAATAGCATTATATCTTCATTTTGACAGATTAAGAAACTGAGGCTCAGAGAGGTTAAGGATCATACCCAAGGTCATGGCCAAAACTGAAAAGTAGGAAATCTGGCTTGAAACCCATGAAAATATAAGAAGATTTAGACTTAGTCTGTATAATTTTTCATAGCTGAAGTAATGAGCAGCTTATGACGGTCTGAAAGACTTTAGCTCAGGTTAAAACAGACTCATATCAGGGTCTTCTAGGAATTTTCAAAGATTATTTGCGTGCTTAAAGCAGTAAGTAATACTTTTTCATGTATTCAAAAGCACACAAGAAAATTATTAGCTACTTAACAGAATGACCATATCTTTAAATCCCCTTTACTTGGAGAAGACGTTTTAAGAACTGTAACATTTATTTGTAATGCACTGACCTTGTCAAATAGCTTTCAGAAATCAGACTTATTACTGATTGCCTAATGGAAAGAATTGTCTGATGAGAAAAAGTATACGTTTTTTCCCCATAATTTATGGAAGAGGAACTATTTTAAATTGTCATATATATTTGTACTTTTCAGTAACATAGATGGTTTGTGAAGGCAAATGTTTAATAAATGCCTTAAATTCATGGTTTCTCAAATTAACTATTGTTTGACTACTGTAAGAATCTCTGCTATATTTGTTCTGAATTATTCAAGATTTATAGTAAATATAAAAACACAAAGAAAACCCATCTTCTGACTTCTGGTTGTTGCTGTTTCTGAACTCATTAGTCACTAACTGCTATTTGGACTGACCTTTTTATACCCACCCCATGGTAATCAGAAGTGACTTGCTGAAGTTCTAGGGAAGCCATTTGATCTACCAGCTGCTTATTCTCTTCTTCGAGAGTCTGCAGGTTCTGAGTTAATGTGTTTATGTCTACCTTTAGAAAAACAAAAGTAAAAAATAAATTATTTATGCCAGATGCAAAAAATATTATCTTATTTTTAAAATAACAATTATAACTGTAAAATGGACAGTATCTTTCATATGTTCCCTTGCCTCTAAATGTGGAGATTTGACCAGTCTGATAGCTCTATGATGTTCCTAAGAACGCTTTTTTCTGTATGGTTTGTGGGTCTAAATTTTTTTTTTTTTTAAGTAACCTTTTTCCATTTTTTGAGTTTTTCTAGTTGCCCTCAACAAAAGGGTTATTGTAAATTATATAGTTCTCCTTTACTATAAGTTAAAATCCTTCGGGTATTTACTTAAAATCAATTCAAGCTCACAAATACAGATGCAAAAATCTTCCACAAAATAAATGTTTGTTATTAGCAAAACAAACCCAGCAATATATAAAAAGATAACAAATTACGACTAAGTGAAGCTTATGCCAGTAATGCAAAGCTTGTTGAACATTCAAAATCAATCAGTATAATACACCACATCAACAGACTATAGGAGAAACACCAAATAACCATCTTAATACTCACAGTAAAATAATTTCACAAAATTCGACATCAATTCATTATAAAAACTCAGCAAACCAGAAATGAAAGGGAACCACCTCTAGTTGATAAAATGTATCGATAAAAATCCTAGAACTAATATCAAAATTAATGGTAAAAAACGTTCCCCCTAAGATTGGGGAAAAGGCAAAGGTATCCACTTTCACCACTCCTATTCCACATCATACAGGAGGCCATAGCTGATGCAATAAAGCAAGAAAACATAATAAAAGGCATAAAGATTGGAAAAGGAGAAATGAAACTGTCTCCACTCAAGGCATATGATCATTTAAAAAGGAAATCCCAAAGAATCTCCAAAAAAGGTACTAGAATAAGTGAGTATATCAAGGCTGAAGGATACAAGGGCAAATATATTGTATTTTTATACATTAACAATGCACAATTAGAAATTCATATTTTATGTCATCTGCGAAGCCTGAGTCCTGTCCTCTCGCTCTCCTCCCCGGGCAGCATGAGCTTCACCACTCGCTCCTCCTTTTCCACCAACTACCGGTCCATGGGCTCCGTCCGGGTGCCCAGCTATGGCACTCGGCCGGTCAGCAGCGCGGCCAGCGTCTATGCAGGCGCTGGGGGCTCTGGTTCCCACGTCTCCATGATGCACTCCACCAGCGTCCGGAGCAGCATGGGGGTCGGGGGCCTGGCCGCGGGGATGGCTAGGGGTATGGCAGGAATGGGAGGCATCCAGAACGAGAAGGAGACCATGCAAATCCTGAACGACCACCTGGCCTCCTACCTGGACAGAGTCAGGAGCCTGGAGACCGAGAACCGGAAGCTGGAGAGCAAAATCCGGGAGCACCTGGAGAAGAAGGGATCCCAGGTCAGAGACTGGGGCCATTACTTCAAGACCATCAAGGACCTGAGGGCTCAGATCTTCTCAAATACTGTGGACAATGCCCGCATCGTTCTGCAGATTGACAATGCTCGTCTTGCTGCTGATGACTTTAGCGTCAAGTATGAGACAGAGCTGGCCATGCGCCAGTCTGTGGAGAGCGACATCCATGGTCTCCGCAAGGTCATCGATGACACCAATGTCACTCGGCTGCAGCTGGAGACAGAGATCGAGGCTCTCAAGGAGGAGCTGCTCTTCATGAAGAAGAACCATGAAGAAGAAGTAAATGGCCTACAAGCCCAGATTGACAGCTCTGGATTGACCGTGGAGGTAGATACCCCCAAATCTCAGGACCTTGCTAAGATCATGGCAGAAATCCGGGCTCAGTATGACGAGCTGGCTCTGAAGAACCAAGAGGAGCTGGACAAGTATTGGACTCAGCTGATTGAGGAGAGTACCACAATAGTCACCACACAGTCCACTGAGGTTGAAACTGCTGGGATGACACTCACAGAGCTGAGACGTACAGTCCAGTCCTTAGAGACTGACCTGGACTCCATGAGAAATACAAAGATCAGCTTGGAGAACAGCCTGAGGGAGGTGGAGGCCCGCTATGCCCTGCAGATGGAGCAGCTCAACGGGATCCTGCTGCACCTGGAGTCAGAGCTGGCACAGACCCAGGCAGAGGGACAGCGCCAGGCCCAGGAGTACGAGGCTCTGTTGAACATCAAGGTCAAGCTGGAGGCTGAGATCGCCACCTACCACCGCCTGCTGGAAGATAGGGAGGACTTCAGTCTCAGTGATGCCTTGAACAGCAGCAACTCCACGTGAACCATCCAAAAGACAACCACCCGCCGGATAGTGGATGGCAAAGTGGTGTCTGAGATCAACAACACCAAAGTTCTGAGACATTAGGCCAGCAGAAGCAGGGGACCCTTGGGGGAGCAGGAGGTCAATAAAAAGTTCAGAGGTTAAAAAAAAAAAGAAATTCATATTTTATTAAAATGCCATTTAAAACAGTACTATACTATGAAATTCTTTAAGTACAAATATAACAAAATATGTCTAAGATGGGATGTGCTGAAAATTACAAAATAGTGATGAGAGAAATAAAAAACAAATAAAATAGATATATCATGTTCATGTACTGACATGTGTTGTATAACAATCAATGATGGACCACATATGCAACAATGGCTGGAGCAACAGGCTAAACCATATAACCTAGGTGTGTCATAGAATCAAGATAAAGGGATGGAGAAGAATCTACCAAGCAAGTGGAAAACAGAGAAAAGCAGGGGTTGCAATCCCAGTTTCTGACAAAGCAGACTTTCAATTAATAAAGATTAAAAAAAACACACACACACAAAGAAGGGCATTACATAATGGTAGAGGGTTCAATTCAACAAGAAGAACCAACTATCCTAAATATATATGTACCCAACACAAGAGCACCTAGATTCACAAAGCAAGTTCTTAGAGACCTTCAAAGAGACTAAGACTCCCATACAATAATAGTGGGAAACTTTAGCACTCCACTGACAACATTAGACAGATCATAGAGACAGAAAATTAACAAAGATATTCAGGATCTGAACTCAGCACTAGATCAAATGGAACTGACAGAAATGTACAGATCTCTCCACCCCAAAATAACAATATACATTCTTCTCATCGCTACATGGCATTTACTCTAAAATTGATCACATAATTGGAAGCAAAGCACTCCTCAGCAAATGCAAAATTAACAGTCTCTCAGACCACAGCACAATTATATTATAATTCAAGACTAAGAAATTCATTGAAAGCCACATAACTAATGGAAATTGAACAACCTGATCCTGAATTACTCCTGGGTGAATAATGAAATTAAGGCAAAATTCAATAAGTTTCTTGAAACTAATGAGAAAAAAGAGATAATGTACCCGAATCTCTAGGACACAGCTAAGGCACTGTAAAGAGGAAACTGTGTTGCACTAAATGACCACATCAAAAAATTAAACCTCAAGTTAACAACCTAACTTCAGAACTAAAAGAACTAGAGAACAAATAGCAAACCAATCTCAAAGGTAGCAGAAGACAAGAAATAACCAAAATCTGAGGTGAACTGAAGGAAATAGACGCAAAAACCATTCAAAAGATTAACGAATCCAGAGCTGTTTTTTAAGAAAAAATTAATAAAATAGACTGCTACCTAGACTAATAAATAAGAAAAGAGAGAAGTTTCAAATAAACAATCAGAAATAATATGGGGAATATTACCATTGACCCCACAAAAATACAAACAACGATCAGAGAATATTATAAACATTTCCATGCACATAAACTAGAAAATCTAGAAGAAACAGATAAATTCTTAGATATACACCCTCTCAAGACTGAACCAGGAAGAAGAAATTGAATCCCTGAACAAACAATAATGAGTTCAGAAATTGAGGCAGTAATAAATAGCCTACCAACCAAAAAACACCTAGGCTCAGACAGATTCACATCTGAATTCTACTATATGTACAAAGAACAGCTGGTATCATTTCTACTGAAATAATTCCAAAAAATTGAAAAGGAGGGATTTCTCTCTAACTTGTTCTATGAGGCCAGCATCATCCTGATACCAAAACCTGGTAGAGATACAACCACAAAAAAAGAAAACTGCAGGACAATATCCTTGGTGAACACTGATGCAAAAATTCTCAATGAAATACTGGCAAACTTAATCCAGCAGAACATCAAAAAGCTTATCTGCCATGATTGAGCAGGCTACTACATCACTGGGATGCAAGGTTAGTTCAACATATACAAATCAATAAATGTGATTGATCACATAAACAGAACTAAAGAGAAAAACGTGATTATCTCAATAGATGCAGAAAAGGCCTTCAATAAAATTCAACATCTCTTCATGTTAAAAACTCTCAATAAAGTAGGTATTGAAGGAACATACCTAAAAATAATAAGAGCCATCTATGACAAACCCACAACCAACATCATACTGAATTGGCAAAAGGTGGAAGCATTCCCCTTGAAAGCCGGCACAAGACAAGATGCCTTCTCTCATCACTCCTATTCAATATAATATTGGAAGTTCTGGCCAAGGCAACCAAGAAAGAGAAAGAAATGAAGCGCATTTAAATAGAAAGGGAGGAAATCAAACTATCCCTGATTGCAATGACATGATCCTATATTCCAAAACCCTATCACCTCAGCCCAAAAGCTTCTTCAGCTGATAAACAACTTCAGTCTCAGGATATAAAACCAATGTGAAAAAAATCATTAGCATCCTACCCACCAACAACAGTAAATCTGAGAGCCAAATCATAAATGAACTCTCATTCACAGTTGTCACAAAAAGAATAAAATACCTAGGAATACAGCTAACCAGGGAGGTGAAAGGTCTCTACAAGGAGAACTACAAAACACTGCTCAAATAAGAGATGACACTAACAAACAAAAAAACATTCCATGTTCATGGATAGGAAGAATCATGCCATTAAAATGGCCATACAGCCTAAAGCAATTCACGATTCAATGATATTCTCAATAAACTACCACTGACATTCTTCACATAACTAGAAAAAACTATTTTAA